ACAAAAAAAGATAAAAAATCTTGACACTGTAAGTATTAAATTATAATAGTAATTAATTTTCATTTTACTTTATTTTGAAATTGTATTTCTATTATATAGTAGAAAAAATAATTAAAAATATTCGTTATTTTTCCCTCGTTAATCCATTATCTTTTTCTTTCTTTCCTGTATATTATAATTAGTTTTTATAATTTCTTAATATGCTATACTATAAATTATATAATTAAAAATATATAAAATGACGTCTTATGTTTAGATCCGAATAAACCCTTTTTTAACTTAAAAAATTAAAATTATTTAAATATATTATATATTTGGATTCCGAAACCACTCTCTTCCAACTCCTCATGATTGTTTCCTATAATGAATTTCCCAAATGCCTACTTCCTATTTTCTCTATTGGAGGGGCCCAACTTGATTTTTCGCTTAATACCTGGAATTGGTTAAAAAGTTAGTCCAATGTCTTCAAAGCGTTTTTTTGGGTAAGCAGTTCTTTAACTTTAGCTAATGATAACATACCAATACAAGGCATATTCTTAAAACAGATGACTATAAGGCTTTTATATACAGGTAACATATTCAAATGGCAAGCCAAATTTTCAAAATATTTTTTTAATATATACTATTATAATTACATGCTCTTTAAAGATTAAGAGTCTAAATAAATATATAATATTTATATGGAATGAAATATGAAATGATTTGCCAAAATTTTGAAAATTAAAAGCATTTTTCTTAAAAAAAATGTGTATATGGATAAGAAAAGAATTTCCGCCTTTCATATTAAACTATTATAATATAAATTATTAAATCAAAACCATTTTTTTGTGTTATTATATTTTCAAGACCATATTTCTTGGAGATTTTTTATACTATTATAGATTTCAACTTTGACCAATAATAAACTTATTACCAAACGTGGATTAGCATTTCCTTTCAAATTTTAGCCTTTTGCGCTCAATCGGAGACTTTTCAAGAATCATAATCTTTTATCTCATGTTTTGGTTATATATGTCGTACTATGCTTCATTGACCAAGGTTTTAAAAATTTTTAATAAATTATTTATAAGGTAAGTTTTTTTAATTTCTAGTATGCATAGACTATAGCCTACCTTGTGAATTTCCGTTTTCTTCATAAATTTATATTTTTTAAATTTATATAGAAAAAAATAATATATAAACTTATATAGATTAAAAGTAGTTCAAAAACTTACGGCATAATTACTTGAATTTCACACGGTAGGGAGACAGAGCTAGTTGTACCGTAGGGCTTGTCAAGCAATTTGATCCCATTTGTAAATTTAAAATTTTTCATTATATTTGTTTAACCTTTTTAATCCCGATTTCGCCTATTTTAAAAAACTGTTGAATCAAGATTATGGCCAAAATAATATTATACCTATGTTTAAAGATTTAGCCAATCAAACTTGTAAAATCTTTAGGCTTAGGTAATATTTTTTGGTTAAAATCTTGAGTTAGCCATTTTTGAAAATTTCCAATTAAACTGTTTAACAACACAATGCTTACCATCTAGCTAAAGGTGAGATTTGGAAAAAAGAAGAGTATGTTAATATTTTGTTGGTTTCCGTGATTTCGATGAAGCCATAATAATCCCCGCCAGTCTAGTTATCAAGAAAGGAGATATATTTCCTCAGGGCGTTTATATTGTCCTCTGGGTTTATTCTTTGAGGTCGAGGATGTTTTTAAGCCTGCCTACTTACAATTTTATGTTCTGTAGATACCCCTTTGAGAATTTACAGTGGAGAGGGTCATGCCCATTTGATTATGACAAAGAGAACACTGAAAAGGAGTAACTAAAAGACAATTCTTGAAGAGTTCTATAACTATTGTTAGTATGGCCTTTAGCAACTCATACCCATTTTGTTTTTTATGAATTCTTCATGCACTGAGTTCCTGTAGAAACATGCTAACCTTAGTGTTAGTGAGCCAACACTGATACTTCGGATGTTATTGAGTAAAGTAGCTTGTATCCAAAGGAGAGGTGAAAAAATCAAGCTTAGGAGTTTCCCTATGGCCTTGAGTTGGCCCTTAAAAATATCACGAATATCGATATTGAATCTTTGAAATAATAAAAAAAGTTTTTAATAAGAAAAAAACTTGGTGAGCAAGGAATAGTATGAAAGGTTGATGCTGAAGTTATTTAAAAAATTTCAATATGGCGGGTGAACCTTCGATAAGTATGCCATAGCTGATTTATTGAATCTATACTTTGTTTTCTTACCACTAACTGAACTAGTTAACTTTCTTTTCTTCTAATTATCTACCTATAGTCTGGCTTAAGCCAACCCCATTTTATAAAAAAAAACTTACCACCTTCGGTTCCCAGGTTGTCGCTATACTAAATCTTTTCCAACCTAATTTTTGATCGGTGATCAAACATTTCTAATGTCTTATTCTTCTTTTTGCCTCCAATAATTTCTAATAAAAAAAAAATCAGGTTTATAAATTTAAATTTTTTTTATATAAAAATTGGATAAAATATATATTATCAATAATAAAAATATATTATTTTAAATTTCGATTTTGATATTTTTTTAGATTATAAAATGCAAGCTATAATTCTTTTTTTTTTGAGCATAACCTTTTAAAACAGTTATTTAAAAAATATCTACTATATTTAGTCACCTTTTATTTGCATATTAATTAATAAGATAATGCAAATATTAATGGCTTTATGTATAAAATTTATCATACAATTTTAAATTAAAAATGATAATATATATGACTAAATTTTTTTCAAATATTAATTATCGATTTTTGCAAAAGAATATCAAAACTTCCATAATTTGGGTACTTTTGGGGTGCACGATCTAACCCAAATTGGACAGGTAATTCAAATTTTCAAGGTCATGCCACTTTTTATTACAAAATAAAAATCGTTTAGCTCTTTTAAATTTCGGGAGTAAAATTTTATTATTTATTGTAATACCAGAGATAAATAAATTATATTATTTTTCTGCATATTTCCGAATTGACAAACATTTCTAACTAATAAATGAATATGATTGGTGTTCTAAACTGTACCCAAATTTATAAGGTAGTCAAATGAGGTGCCCATTTTATTTAGATATTTGTCCGAATTACGACGAAGTTTACTGTAGTACACAGAGTCGTCAGTTGCAATATATTTTGAAATTTATTCAGGAAAGACAGAAAACAATTCAAGGTATCGTTTATTATTAATAATAGAATTTTATCGTAATAATGAGTTTAAAAAACACGTTTCTATGAATGATCAAAACTAAGAATATCCCAGAACGTTCCAGAGTTTAAAAGTTTGAGGAATTTAACATAATAAATGGGCAAACTTTCGAAATGTCTAGATTTTTAGAATTGATTTCAAAAACCTCGATTTTTACTTGCTTTTAACATTATGAGCTTGAACGCTAAAATGCTAGAACCTTCTAGTTTATTCTTAGCCTGAGATATGGGTTTATGCTTTGGGATAAAAATATTCTTTGTGTTCGGCCGATTATATAATATTGTCATGATTACCCAAAATATCTCGTTTTTAAATTGTAAATTATAATTCTCAATTTTAACACCTATTTAAAATTGTTTCGGTTCGTCTTAGTTTTCCGCTCCAATAATTTAACATTCATCGCATTTGGCACTTGCATGTTGATTTATAATGTAACCCAAAATTTAGTTTAAAATGATATTATTATTATTATCATCCCTTTCTTTAAAAAAACATTACTAGCAGTCTAGATATAAGAACCTCTCACAAATAGTGGAAATTACAAGTTCAGACCCGGAAACTGAAGAATAAAAGTTTTTATAAAAAGGCCTAAGAAGTAATATTTATTATTGTATTACCAACGCCAAACCTATATTACTAACTTTATTCTAAATATCTATTATGGAAATCAAGAAATTGATTAATATACCTCATTTCCACAATCCAGATAAATATAACTGAATTGGTTTATTGCATTTATTCACGATGACTTAATATATTCTTGTGCATCATAATATAAATGTTTTTTTTTAATATGAATTTTGAATGAGAGATCGAACCACTTTTAATGTGCTATTCAAAAATAGCAAAAAAAGATTTGTAAAAATTGAATAATATATATTTTTTGGTTATTGATTACGAGATATGGCATTTAAGTAGCTTGTATCTTTTAATTCCTTTAATTCCACAAAGTTTTATATAGAGGAAAAAGATAGAAAAGTGTAAAATGTTTTGATGAGATTTTGTGAAGAATAAGGTTTGAGATGTTACACACTAAAAAGGGGGTGGGGATAAAGAGGAAGAATTCGCACGATAGAGGCATAAATTTCTCAAATACCTATTTTATGAATGATTTCGATTAGTATAAGATCCAATATCTTCAAAATGTTAGATGAAGAGTTGGCTACAACATTAAATTAATATTTGTTAAAAATTTAGATGACACCAATCCCTCGCAAACCTTTACTTCTTTTTACTTAACTTTCGCCTAACCACTAAATGAATATTGAAAGAATATTTGTTTCAGCTAGTTCGGCTATCAAAAAATAACATAGCGGTAGATTTATTGAAAACTTTAAAGGCTCCCTCTCCCCTCTCAAGTATAAATGTGTCTTAAATGTTATTGCTCCCTAAGAAATATAATCCTTTGATCTCTAGGAAAAGCGATAGGCCACCAAAAATATGTGCATTACTTATATGTAAATTTAAAGTGTCTCAAAAATTAATGAGCAAATTGCATGAGATTTATAGGATAAGTATTTTACACATTTTAGAATATCTTTTTAAATCAGATTTTACAAATTTAAGAATGAACACTCAACCAATTGATTACGCTATTTTCCAACTTTAAATGCATTATTTAAAGCTTTTTTTTATTTTAAAAATTATATTTTACAAGAAACTTTACCCAGCATGTATAAAACTAAATTTCCGACAATTTAAAATATGACTCATATTGCCTAGGAAATACTTGTAATACTCCATTTGTACACTGCCGGTAACATATAACCGTTCTTAATTCGAACAAAAAAGAAATGAACTAGCGAGTGGTGTAAAAGGGAGATAACTTGATCGTTGAAACGATTGTTCTCTCCCAATAAATAACATTTATATGTTTTTTCACTCTCAAAAGCTGTGTAAATATATTGTTTTTTTTTCCTTCTCTACCTTCATTTCCTACAAAACATTTAATTTACAAACAATATTTTTTCCCATTTTAATACTTCTAATTAAATAAAATACATTATCAAAATATATTTATGGCATTTTCCCGGTCAAAGTTATTTTAAACAAACAAAAACTAAATGTTCAATCTTTACGATTTTTCAGTTATTCATAATATTTGGGAAGCAGTTCATATATGCGGTCCACGTGACACTCAGCCATATTTAATAAAGTACTAATTATTTTTTTATCTTACTTTTTATTCCCATAAACCTTAGAAAAATCTGCGCCCGCATATTATTTTATATGAATATTTTAAATATCACTTTATGGTATATATTATATTCTTAAAATAATAATTAAATTATTATAAATTCTGTTTTTCTTATGATTTTGAGCTAGTCTATAACAACGTTAAAAAATATGAGGGAAGGGAAAGGGGGAAGAACAGATTATACTTTTAAGAATCTTAAGTAAGGAGTTCCCGTATTTAAAGGTACCACGTTTAACCCTATTTTTCCATACCTGGATTTATGTTTTAATCATCCTTACCGCATTGAATTTGAATAACGCCATTTTAATACATGATAATAATAGCTATAAGATAAAACTGAATTTGGATTTATAATTTGTTTTCTATCAAAAAAAATCAAAAATGCATATACTAATGTTTTCGTAATTATTGTATAAATTATTTTATTTATTCAACTTTATATTTTTAATGTTGTGTAAATTGTAGGGGGGGAGGGCTCATAGTACACATAAATAATCGGTGAGGAAATTGGGGGGGGGGGGAGGTGCTAGCACCATTAGCTTAAGCGGGTTTTGGGTCTAAAAAATAAATTTATTCCGTGTCGGAGTTGGGCATAAAAAGAAATTGCGTTGGCAGAACTTTTACAATATACATGTTTCTCACAATTATTTTTAATTTAATATTATGTTTTTTAATAAACAAAACGAAAGCTCGCCATCAAACGAATATAATGACCAACAAATAAATGTGTTAGATCTCACCTCTATCATCAATCCCAACTTAAAAAATAAAAACAACAAGCGGACCGGTATTTCGAGAAAGCATTATGGCAGTGTTGAAACGGTGAGTAGACAAACCTAAAAACATATAATTTTTGTATAAAAAAGAGAATTAAATATTTTAAGGGCTAACGAAAAATTTTTCTTAATTTGAGGAGACAAAAAATATTTTCTCTCAAAGGAGTTAGTCAATAGTAAATTCTTTTTTTTCTGTGTATTCATTATTCAATATTTTAAATTTTTAATGGCGGTCTCTTGGTTCTATTTCCATCAGCATAAAATTTCTCCTCTTCGATTTATCAATAAATTATGATATTTTTGTCTCACGTATTGCCTTATGTATCATCCAAAGTTTATAAACAGAGGATGACTTTAAAAAAATTCGATATTAACCTAGCTTGAACTTCAGCATTCATTTTTTCCTATAATTCTTGACTTGTCGATTTTAGAAAAAGAAAAAGAAGATGCTTTATGGAGATCATCAACTACTGATTGGCCTTAGCCCAGACTAAAGGTCAGGTTAAAGACGGGTCAATTGAGCCTCCAGTAGAGGGGGGAAATTAGTTTTTAAATTTAGGTTTATATATGTTATATTTTCGATATTTTTTATTATTATTTAAAACCTTTTAAATGTAATTTTTTTTATAACCCTCATTTAAAAAAAATTTATAATATAGAATAATAAGTTAGTTTTGTGCCGTGAGAAATCTCGACAATTTCATATTTTATTTTTTTTTCTCCATTCTTTTTTTTAGCTTCTCATTATGTTTATTTTTTTCTGCTTTAAATCGTAGGTGTGTGTGAATTATATCCTGTATTGACTCTGGTTTTCTATTATGTTATTTTTAACCTTTTACCATTTGATTTCCAGCATTATATATATATTTTTTTAAATTATGCTTTTCATTTGATTTAATATACCGGTGGGATTAGGGTTTGTCGTAGCATACCTTGTTTTATTTTTAAAAAGATGACTTTTTGTATCTTTTAGCATTATTGAGACAATTTTAAACTTGTTTATTTTAGAACAATTATGATTAATTTCTCATGTTGAAGATACAATATTTAAGTCGTTTTTTTTAAATTTAAAAAATATATAAATAAAAATAATTTTTAAGCTTAAAAGCCACGAAATGCCTGAAGGCTATACAAATTACCCTACGAGGTTCAAGGTAGAATATGGCGAATTCGATAATAGTCAGGTAATGAGTTATTTTTAAATATGTAAAATCATGCAATAGGACAAATTTAAACATAAAATGGTTTGATCAATCTCAAATTTTTACAATTTTATTATATTAATTGACTAGTTATTAAAAATCAGATGGTCCAAAAACATCAAAAAAACTTTCAAAAATTTTGGAAAATCACGAAATAAGCTTTTTTTAATAGAAAATTTAAAACGTGGCCTATTTTTTTAACTTTGTAAAAGTTTCTAAACTTTAACATAAGTCTTAAAGTTTTGAAGCAAGTCTTATACAAAACCATGAAACATTTACAAAATATTATATAGTTTAATTATTAAGAATACGCATATTTTAAAAATTCTGGGAAAATGATTTTTTTTTAAAAAATAGTCAAAAAACCCGGGTTGACTTGAAATATATTAAATTTTAATAGAATGTGAATCAGGTCAAGAATGCACTTTTATTTTAAACCCAGACTTGGGACTTTTAAGTGCACCCTTTGGAAACTACGAAGTCTGATTTGATCAAATTCGATCAAAGATTCGAGCATGTTAGACGATATGGACATAAATATTAAAGGCATATTTTATTTTTATATATTTATTTAATTTATTTCTAAATAAATTTGTGAAAATTGTAAAACAGACGATATCTGCTCCTCCTAACACACCTGTCCATCTCGAAAACCCCGAATTTCAAACAAGATGGTATTTCAAATACTTTTTAGGAAAAAGTATTTTAAATTTTTTTATCTATTCATTTTTTTTCCCACCACAAATTAGACATGTGTTTTTTATTAGGAATTTTTTTGCTAATCGATTCAAATCTCTCTTCATTTTTTACATACCTACCTACTTACTACCTAGTTTTGTTAAAATACCTACAGGCGTGTACGCTGCGGGGATTGGCAGGGGGACAAATCCCCCCCCCAAAGCCAAAAAATGCAGATGCCGGATTATATCTTTCAAAAATATTATTGTTTATATTAATTTATATTTGTTAATATTTATTCCTATCTCATATATATATTTAATTACATTTATTTATCACATTCATCTACTAAGTTATTTTGTCAATTAATTTCGATTTTAAGTTTTCCTTGGCGTAATACCTATTGTTTTTAAATTTCTAGTAGCGTAATATTTATCTAAATTTCATGTATTATTTAATTATACAACTATTTTAAATAATACTTTTCAAAAACATGACATGACTTGATTAAGAAGATGAGAATAGCGGAAGCATTTTATTAGAACTCAAGGAAATTAGAGCTAATGTTTATGAAGAATTTCATATTTTATATGTTATTATTGAGTCAAAAGCAGAGCTATACGTGTTTAACATTTGTCTCCCTCGACTTGCAGCAAGACAAGCTCATCGTCAGAACATTCATATAGGATCAGTAGAAGAGTATTATAAAACAAATGTCACCTCTCTTAGATGTATTTATAACCTAAATAAATGAATGGTTTTTAATTCACTGCAGATATTACTTCCACAAAAGCCTTCCCAACCTTTTTCAGATGGTGATAGAAAAAAAATGAATATTTGTTAGATTTTTATCATGAAGATGTTAAAGTATCTTATGATACCTTATTAGCTGAATAACTATGATTAAAAGATTAACTATGATTGATATAGTCCTAAAAAATGTTATAGATGCGTTGCATTATTTCAAACACATTTTAAATTATATTCCCAATGTATTAAAATGGTTATATATATATATATATTAACAACTCTTCCCATTTGTAAACTAATAAGAGAACATTCTCTTTTTTAAGAAGAATAAGAGAGTCCTGCAGAGGTACCATTTGCAGCGCACGGCCCGGATTTTTTTTTCAAAATTTTTTCGGCCCGACTCAGCTTTTTTTAAAAATAAATTTTCAGGCCCGGCCCGAATTTTTTTTAAACAAATTATATTTATTTTTTAGTTTTATAGCTAATAATGGCGATTTCAAATATTTGGTTTTAAAATATACAGCCCGGCCGGATATTTATTTTAAAAAAAATTCAGGCCCAGCCCGTGTGTTTTTTTAAAAAAAAAATTGGGCCCGGCCCGAGTATATTTAAAAAAATTAAAATACGGTCCGGCTCGAAGGTCGGGTCTGCAAGTCTCTGAAACAAATCTAAGAAGTACAACTTCTGAAAGTAGATTGAACGGTTTGAATCTTTTGAATATTCATAGGCATTTAATGCCGCAAGGATGATATAATTGAAAAATTAGCACAATCCCAACGAAGATTGGATTTTACATTGTAAATATATAACATACAAAATACAATTATTCCTAAGAAACTTTTTGTGTATTAATTTATATTTCCAAAATTTAAATTTTTTATACTTTATATATAAATTTTAAAGGCTCAAAAAATTCAAATTTCTATTTTGGGTCATTTAAGTGATTCTTATAGTGGTTATATTCACTTTATATTTAATAATTCACATTTATTTTATAGCTTTTCATATACCTCCAGTTATATCCGTTTAATATTTTTTAATTCACATTATTTTATAGTTTTTTATATGTCGGTTTATATATATAATTTTTTTATAATTCACATTTTAAAATTGTTTATTAGAAATAGTTTTTAGTCCTAATAAATTTATGCTTAATATTTTTAAATAACATATTTCTTAAAAAAATTTATTACCCCCCCCCCCCCCTAGATCAAATTCCTGCTTACACGCCTGACTACCTAACTTTAAGCCAACTCTAAATAGCTTAGCCAGGTTTTTATCCTAAAAAAATTCTTCTCTATCTCTAAGTTGAATTAAGTCAATTTTTTAGGTTAGTATCTTGACCAAGCTATACTGGAGTTTGTCAAAATTAGGTGATTTAGAAACCTACCCACCAACTTTACAATAAATATTTATTATTAATATCGTTATTTAAATAGATTTATTTTATACCCCCCGTTTCACACAAAGTATTATTTTTAAAAAAATGTCTCGAAACATAAAATCAATAAAATATTATTAAAAACAAAAAAATTAATTTGATTTTTTTAAAAAAAATATCAAATCAATAAAATAATCATTTTAAATGTTGTCTCTTTTACCGAACCAAAGTGAAGAATCACTTTCCTTCCCTTTTCCCTAAATTTTTTTTGTAACTCCTATATTCATGTCGGTCTTAAAATTATTTAGCCCCCATTTGCCCATTCACATTTTTAATGAAACCCCATTAAACAAATAAAAGCTTGTGATTATCCATTAATATAATTCACTGCTTATTCGTGTTTAAAAAATTAATTGTAAAATAAATATCCCAGAATTAGGAAATAAAATTTGAAAAATCTTCGTAAAGCGAATTACCTAACAAATACTAAGTTTTCTCTAGAGATTAAGTGCAGTTTATTAGAACTCCAGTGTGTTTTAATAAACTTTATTACATAAGTATTTGTCAATATTTTGATCTGGATTTTACAGAGCCTACTATTTTATGTTAATCTATATTTCTATTGAATGGTTTTAACTTTAATATACAAATTTTTTTTAGGCGGATGCCTTAAGAATGTTGGAGATGCTCAAAACTAAATATAAAGTGTCAGATTGTGATGAATACAATTTTTTTTTTAATAAACACACATTTTATAAAACACTTTGTCTTCTTTTCTTTTATATTAATTCCATGAAAATATTGATGAAATTTGATTATAAAAAAAATATATTTGATGGAGAAAAAAAAGAAATTAATAAATAAAATATTGATGAAATTTGATTATAATAAAAATATATTTGATGGAGAAAAAAAAAGAAATTAATAAATAAACGTTCAATCATATTATTCTTGTCAAGATTTGCAACATTTAAAAAAATATATAACATGTATAGTGTTGTAATATAATGTTTTACCAACTTTTTAAAAGCATCCTTCGACTCCGATTTTTGTTAGCTAGTTTGTGTGTGTTGTATATCTTATATATTTTATTAAAAAAAATAAAAATTACATTTTTTTTATATAACTATGATATAATAGGAAGGAAAAAAAATATAAATAAAAGTGCAATAACATTGGCGAACTCTCATTTGAAATCAATAACTTTTTCTTGATTTTTGATACACTTACTCTCTCTTTTAAAAGAAGCTAAATTTGATTTTCCTCTTCTTTATTAACGTCCAAAAGCAGATTTTTATAAACTTTACTTTTCGTTAAGCTAATGTAATGTTTTACTAAGATACAAGTGTCTAGCACTATTTATTTTTTTTCTAAAAGCGGAAATTAGTAATTGCTAAATTTAAATACTTTTTTTTGTATTTTTTAGTGTTTATAATTTTAAGAATATTTATTATTTGTATTTGAAATATCAAAAAAAAAGAATAAAGAGGCATCTTGCATGTTACGATTTGAAATAAAATATAATAGAAACACTTTAAATTTTTTAAAATATTATTATTATAAATTTGAATCAGAAACCTGAAATCCCCAACGTTACCCGCCTGGCCCACCAAATTTTTTTTAAAAAATTACAACGGGCCCGGACAAGGCGTTACGAAACAGGGTTGGGCTAGAAAACTTGTTTAAAAAAATTAAGAGGGTGGACCGATTTATACATAGAAATATGGGTTATTTCTTTTACTTTTATTCTAAAATTATCTAACTAATTTAAATTTATAAATAGTATAAAATAATTTATTCCCTATTTTATAAAAAATTATAGGCCGGACCGGACGCCTACAATTTCAATTGCCCAGCCCGGACACTAAAATTTTATTACAATTTTCGAATTTCAAACTAACATTCTAATTTCGATTACTATTTAAAAATAAATTACAATATGCTCATTTCTTTGTAAAAGATGTCTAACTAAATCTAAAATAGTCAATCACAAAATAGATCCTATTCCATTTAAAAATATTCGATACAAATATCAAAACACAATTGATTTAAAAAAGGTTATTATAGAAATAGACAACCATAGATTAGACATATAAGAGCCTTAATTGACCTTGGAAAAAATTAGATAGAAATTAAATATAGGCATTAAAAATGTCATGGCCAAAAAGTTAGTATAAAAATATTTTAACGGGCCAGGCTGAGAAATTTATAAAAAAAATTTTGAGGGTCGAAGTCGGATATTTAAATAACGGACTGGGCCTGGCAACTTGTGCAAAAAATTAACGAGCTGAAATTATCTATAATTTAAAATTAATTTTGTGATCCGAGTCCCCGCTTATACAAGTTTCGTACCAACTGACCACAGTGTCCTCTAGTCTCCTTCCCCTAAATCAATAACTCTGGCATTCACCTGGTAGCTAAAATATAAAATGATTCAATTAGAAAATGGATTAATGCCTAAATGGGTCCGCCGAAGTTTCTCGATTTGCCTTTTCACTCTTAATTATTAGATAGATTTCTAAATGAATCAATTTTAAACTCTTAAAAGTGAAACCCCAACATATAATAGTTAAAGTTAAATATTAATTAAGAAAGAAATTAATTAAATTCAAAAAATAAAAATCTTTGGTTTTAAATTATTTGTTTTTTTAAAATGCAAAATAAGAGACAATTTCTTTTTTAAAGGCTATTCAATCCACGAGGGATTAATAAATTTCGTTTATTTTTATTTTTTTCCATGATATTTTTTTAAGTAGTAATATAATATATCTATATGTGTTAATTTGGACAGTTGTTCATCTATTTTCCTTTTTTGTTTGACAATTTTTTTTGATGACATGACTTATGAAAAGAAGAAATACATTTTGTGAATTCTTTTTAAAAATATTATCATATATTACGTAAACTTTCAAGGACCCTTAAAAAATATATTGTTTTAAAAGAACGGTTAAATTTTTCAGACAAACAAAATGACAGTCATTTAAAATTAAGAAATTCATCCTCGCATATTCCCGAAAAACTTATATACTACATTATATAATTTACCTTTATATTTTTACACAATAACTTTTTTTTCATGATCTAAAGTGCATCAAAATTTCATCGGAATATACGGGCCCGAAAAAGGTGATATTTTTATCCTTTCCATAGTTTTAACCGACGCCAACAATCATAACGTACCTCAGTATAGAGCTATTCTTTGGACTAAAAAGGTTGTTTTTTTGAAAAATTAAACATTTATATTTCGTATTCCCTAGTGGGGATCAAAAATTGTATCCGGACCGGAATTAGAAGCTCGGCGAGCCAATTTTTTTAAAATATATGCAAAAGATTAGATTCTAGTTAGATTGCATTCATTCATATTCAACCCTATAACTACACTATCAATAAAATTTCAAATTATATTACTAAAAAAATTGACATTGAAGGGGGATATTAAAAAATTACCCAAACATTTACAACAATAACTTTTTTTAAGTTGTATAAAATTTCCAATTAGGCATCTTTTTTTAAGCCTATGTTTTAGCGAGCAATTAAAATTAAACGTTTTTATCGTAATTTAAAATAAAAATGATGAAAGTATGGCAATTAGCGAAGCAAAATAATTGCTCAATTTATTTCGCGAAAAATTATACTTTCGATTGGAAAGTTTTTAGATAGAACTTTATATATTTATATTTCTTTATATATATATATATTAAGGGAGCAGAAAAGATGTGCTTACCTTATATCCCGAACAAGGCATTATCGACTAAAGCTATACTTTCGTAATAATCGGAAAAATGATATATATATATTATATACATTTATCGTTACATTTTCATTATTAAGAAATTCTGCATTCTCATACACCCCTCCCCTCTCGACGTAGTAGTTAGGTGTTTTGGCCATTACTCACTTTATTCAAAGAAAATAATTATATATTACATTCAGCTCCGCCCCCTCCTAAATATATTGTAGTGAGTCTGCTTCCTATATTAATTTAATTGCATAGTTTTAAGCGCTCTATTTATATTTTAAAATGAAATTTTTTATTTAACTAAAGCGCCTTTTCCTCTATCGATAAAATCGAAGGTCCCAGAGAAATTACGAACCCAAATCTGCAAAAAGTGAGTAAAAATAATATAGATCGTGAATCTAGTTTATATATATATATTTAAAATGACGGGAAGTACTTTGCGATGTGGATATGATAAAAATATGCAGCCTTCAAAAATACTATAGGATTTTTAAATATCGGCGTCAGGCCGGGATTAAAATATAATTACAAATAATAAAAGCGATATTTCAGAGGCTATGGCTAGTGCATCGAGTATTTCAAATATACATAATTCATATATTATTATTCAACTAAATTCGATTTTTTTTATTCGAATAATATTTGTAAGTGAATATTGAATATTGGTTAGATGCATTAGGTCTCAATTTTTATTAAAATAAAATATACATTTTATTTCTTTATCGAATACAGGATCTGGCAATACTAGAAGAACAAGAAGTAAAAAAATTAATTACAAATTACAAAATAAAATTAATCTTATCCATATCCCCTTGAGCCGACTCCTTACGTGTTTAGCCAATTTTTTTTTCATTATCAATCATTTAAAAGACAAATAACCCCTAAAAATTCTCATAATCCCACTTGTGATATCGGATTTCAAAAAAAATATAATACTTTATACATTTTAAAGTAAAAGTTTGAGATGACAATTCCCTGACTAATTATTTATGGCTAGGGGTAGATGCCGATTCGGGATACTATGCCATATAGCAATTTACTAAACAAAAGACCAAATTTTATTACCATTTTTTAAAATTATAGTATTAATCGTATCCTATATCTGATTAACCTTATAACCTTATCCTAATGGGGTAACCTAGTCCAATAGGTTGGTGCTAGAAAACATAAAACATACAATAGAAACTGGGGCTTTAAAAGGGATAAATAATTGACTGATGTTCATCTAGACCCTGGATTAATGCCTGGCCAGTTCAATTTTTTTGTCTGATCAACTTTTGTATGAGGTTATTTGGTTAAGGTAATGTTAGAAGTGTCGCCAAATACGGGATGATTTATATATTTCAAAAAAATGATTTAATATAATTTTTTTTCGTTGTTTAATAAATTTCTTACATTGTCCGACGAATCCCATTATCATTAGCGCTGTATATTTTATTTTGTAAAATAAATTTAAAACATAACGGCATCAATCGGTATGAGAAATTTGCAAGTTAACGCATTATAGATTCTTAGGACACTCGTTTAATCACTAACTATTATTTGCTTATTTGTTTATATATTAGGGTTCAATCAATTTCAAGTTCGGAGTTGTTTATGCTAAACATGACCAAAAATCTGATGACGAAATGCTAAGCAACGGTTATTGATTAATGTCTCTTTTATTTTGCATCTTTTTTTCTATTGATTAGAATTCCATGACTATGATCTTTAAACTCGATTAACAAACTTTGTTAGTATTGATTAGTGTTGTCATTACTTTTCAAATGCAACTAGTTATTAAAAGTTACAATACCCAAAAAATAACTAATTCATGCATAGTTACCCTTGAAATTAATTTGTCACAGTACTGTTACATTATAGTTATCTAATTGTTTCAAAAGATAACAATAAGCCAAAATATATGTTAAAATTGTACGGGTAATTTAATTTACAAACAATACAAAAAATTGATAAAACATAAATTTAAAATAGAAATTTTTTTTAATTACATAAATTATTAGTATTAATGTTGAATATAAAAAAAATGTCCCTTTTTGATACAAGTTGTTAAAACTTACTTTTAAATATCTAGATTAAATATACATTTTACAAAATCGATACACGAATTAATATAAACTTAACTCAATGAGGAATTTTTAAGATTTTGGACAATTAAAATTTGATAAAATTAAATTTAACCCTGTTTTGACCAAACTTGGATCCGTTTACTTGCACCCATTTTCTTTGAAGTGGTTGGGCCAATGATTTTCAATTATTATTTTTTATTCGGGTCACCCCGGGTGGATTCGAACCTCACCATAATTTAAATATTTTTTCCTAATACTTATACCTAAATATTTGTTTAAATAGAAGCATTCAGAAATTTATTTTTATCCAGCACTTGTAGTTTTTTTTTCTCTTTTCCCTAAATATTTCTGAGTCCAAAATTTTTCTTTAAATTTATTTATCTGATTGGACACTCAAAATTTATTTTTAAAAATAAAAGTTTTGATCCCGGCAAGATGGAATAGGAGGGGCCCAAATTTTTTGGTATCTTTGTATTAAAGCTACCAAATAAAATTTGTAAACAAATTTAAAAAAAACAACAAAACATGCTTGATTGAAGTGAACTTCAATTGTGCCGTAGATTTTCTATGCACGTTTTAAACCGAATTTTCTTGATTTGATTTTGATTAGCTTTCTCTCCATATTTTTTTCTTCTAACTCATAAATTAAAGAAATATATTTTATATTTATTGCTTCCCGCACTTCCCAAAACACGCAGAACATGGAAGCGAGGATTTTAACAAGTTTCTCAATCTCTTAGGCCAAAAAGTCAAGTTAAAAGGGTGGACAAGATTTCGCGGTGGATTGGATATAAAAAGTATAATATTTTTTATCTTGTTTGCCATAATTGTTTATATTATTTTACGATTTTCTCTTTTTTTCAATAGCGTATTCTATTTAAAATAAAAATTTTATTTCTCATTTTATCGATTTTTTGTAATTAATATATTATTAATTTTAATTTTTTTTAATTATTATTATATCCTTAAAAAAAATGTAATTTATTTTGTTTTAAATATGCAGTTATTCGAAAAAATACTGTAACCCTGAAAATGTAAAGAGAAAAATTGTCATGAAAAAATCGAAGAAATTTGATGTTCTTTATATTAAAAATTTAAGTTAAGATCCAAGTTTTGGATATTTGTCGAAGCTCTCGTAGAATAGGAGAAAAGCGCTTAGATTAGTTCTCAAAGTTGAGGGCTATATGGTTTTCTATTTTCCTCTTATCAAATTTCAAACATGTTTTTATTTTTATTTTAATGACTAAGGAAATACATTCAATTCATTTTGAATCCTTCTTTTTTTGCATCTAATATAGTTATTTTATTCTTATTTTTTTTAAGTAAATCCTTCATAAGAGATCGCTTCACATCGTGACCATAACTTAATCCCTTCTTGAATGATCACTTAATTAAAGTTTTTTTTAAGACATTATTTTTTTTAAAAACAATTATGGGTTTTTATGGTGCTGTAAAGTACCATCAAAGAAGTGGTACCATTTTTGAAGAAAAGGAACGCCATTCATTACCTCCTTCTAGAAGTAACGAGTAACAGTAACGAGTTTATTTTTTTTTGAGTAGCGGCAAAGTAAAACGTTACTCGTTACTTTAAATTTCTTCTTAAAAAATATTTTTAAAAAAAACATATTTTATTGTACTATAAAATTACTTTTATTTATTTTTTAATATAAATAATTTACGAGTTTTTAAACTATTCCTTCATTTTTATTAAATTATCTTTGTTAAATTTAGTCGAATGTTAATCTAATTAATATTCAATCAAAATTCAGAGTAAATGTTAATTATATATAATTACTTTATTTTATAATTTATTTTAAGAATATTATGTCCATAGTTCTTTCAGATGAAGTTATTTAACCTTTCCCTAAACCCAATTTGAAATATATTTTACATCAAGAAAGAAAATTTAGGATACAAAGTCTACACTTTTTAAATATAAATTATGTCCCAACACAAATATTTCAACCTCAATTTCCAGCAGTTCTAACTTAAAAAGGCATATGAAGGTAAAAATATCAATTAATATGTTATTATTTTATACATTACTTTAATAATAGAATATTAAATCATGGGTATTATAAAATAACCATTAAAAGAAGTATTCTTTCCTAATATTTTGAAATGCTTAAATATGAAATTAAAATGTAAGCAATTAAATAATATTATAGTATAGGACTGGGAACCAACATTAAGAACCCAAGATTAACAAAATATTGTATTGGTTCAAAATATTATATTGGATTTAAACAATATCTTCTATTTCTTCTTTTAGTATGGCTATTGGATTACTTCAAATTGTAAATAAATTTAAAAAGAATAAAATAGTGATTTTGAAAAACATTGTTTAAATGAATATATATATATGGAATAAAACTATGTAGCAATATTGTTTTAGAGAATTGAACCTAGATATTTTTCCTGATTCCTTTTTAAATGACAATTCTGAAAAGATAGGAAATTGAAAAATTATCTTTGGCAATCATAATTTCAATTTTTAATGTTTTCCATGACAATAAGCTTAATGAGGGATTAAAAATGCAATTAAATTTTTAAAAGATTTATCTTCAATTAATGAAAAAGCTAAGTTATTTTTAATAAAAAATTTAGGAATTAATTAAAAAATTATAGACTGTACATTCCTCAAAAATGAAAGAGATTAATGAAAATTTGAATAGTAATAAAAAAATCGAAGCCAATCAACTCACACTCATTGAGATTCAGAATCCATCTACATCAAAGATAAAAATAGCACAATCAGCTGTTGATGAATTAGTTTTTAATTTTATAATTGAAGAATTACAACTATTTCCAATTGTAGGCTGCATTTATTAATATTATCAAAAAATTGCAGCTAACTAAAAATGTGATGTCTAGGCCTACCCTCGTATAAAAAATTAACAAAGCATGTGACACCATGGAAAAGAAATTAGTGGATTTATTGTGTATCTCAAAAATGCCTATATAACTTTGGATTCTTGATCAGTTTATCATTGTTATATATTATATATATTATAGATTGATCACATTGTCTTTTAAAAAAGTTCTTGGGATGACCGTATACTGGCTACACCAAGAAACTCAGGGTTTCAGCTTGCTTAGCTTGTTAAAGGCTAAACCAAAAACACAGATTTGATTATCTATCAAAAATAATCTTTGAAATTTTTATCACATATAAGATACAAAATAAAGTGACCAAATGCATTACCGACAATGCTAAAAATTATATAAAAGCTTTCAAGTAAAAAAATTATAATATATTAATAAAAATTTATTAGAGTATGTAAAAAGGAGAGGAATCGGATTATGTAATAGTTCTTCTGCCATTATTTGATCTATTTGGAAATCAAAATACTTGATAGTATCATAATATACTTACCTAAGCATCATGTTCAGCACACATTTTAAATCTCATTGCAAGTGTTGACATTGAAAAGACAGGTAACGATGTCCATTTTAAGATTTCAAAAATTACATTTTCTAAGTGTAAGCTATTGTGTAATAAACATAGGTAATCTTCAAACTGTGCAGCCATTTTTAGGTAAAACACGGGAAGATATCTGAATGAATAGGTTATGACAAGATGGAACTCTTTATAACGTGAAATTAATAGGTAGTCTTTAAAGGAGAATTGTCAAAAGTTTGACAAATTTTGTGATAAATCTCAATTAAAGAGATTTTCAAATAACGACAAGTCGTTCATGGATGAATATTGTATGGTTAGTGTCTTAAGAAATATGATATGTATATATATGATTTTATAGGTTATGTAACCGATTGCTACTGCTCCTTCAATTTTAGAGAGCGAAGAAAAAATGCATTTGGGATATCTCACTCCCACGATAACTATTATAATATTAAAACTTAAAAAAATGGATTTAAATAATTTTAAGTTTTGTAAGCAGCTTATTAATTCAATCTTGGAAGACGTAAATAAAAGGTATACAGTTAAAATATTGCTTACAATTTATATTTTGATATAGATTCAAACACATCTATATAGTTGAATATATACTATACGCAATAATTCACCCTCTATTTAAATTGTGTTGGCCCTGGATAAAATTAGAGGTCAACAAAGGAAGAATGCTAGAACTTATTTTCAGTTGAGAAAAGATAATGATAAAGAAAAAGCAGACAATACCTTTATCCAACACACATAAAATTTTCTGAAAAAGATAAAAATATTTTGATGAGGAAATGAATGAAGGTCCTTGTGAAGATAATATATTATGCAATTTTCAAAATAAAGATAATTCTTTAAATATTTTAAATAAATTTCCCGAATTAAAAATTTTGTTTATTAATAATACAACTCTGCCATCCTCTGCCCCAATCGAACGTGTGTTTAGCACGGTGAAAGCTGTGTTAAACACTATGCGCTCTTGTTTGATCAAATATTGAAAATCAATTGTTGCTAAAAATAAATAAAAAATTGTTATAAAAAGATTTATCTTGTATATAATATATTTTTGTTATATTTTATTTATATTATCTAATATATATAATCTCCATAATCATAAAACAATCGTTTTCGTATCTCCCTAATGTATTTTAAATTTAAGGAGACTATATAGTGTAATGTTAATTTTTTGCTCTCTACGAGAATCGAAAAGTCTCCCGTTTCAAAGGCATATGCTTTACCGCATGCACCAATTTGAATATAAATAAATTTAAAATATTAATTATATATATCACGCATGCACCAACTTGAATATAATTAAATTTAAAATATTTATTTTATAGATGTTGAAGGGTAATTATTTAGTTTGTGTGTATGGTATTAAATATCTTTATTAATAAATTTTATATAAATATTAAAATTTAAGAGTAAAAGAGGTAAAATTGTTGCAATGTTAGAAATATCAAAATTTAAAAATGTGATGGAAATTATTGATCTGCATCGGGCCAATTTTTCAAGCCCGGCCCGAAATTTTTTTAAAAAAGTTTTGCCGGCCCGGCCCGAACCCGAAATTTTTTTTAAAAAAATTTATCTAAATATAGAAATTAATTTTTATAATTACTCAAAATAAAAGACATATGTTATATGGCGTTTAGTCTGAATAAATAAAATCAAAAATTTTTATTTTACATATAAAAATTCAATATAAAATTGATAAATTTAGATATATTTAAAAAAATTTCCAAGGTCCGATCCGACCCGGCCAAAATTTTTTTAAAAATATTAGGCCCGACCCGGCCCGAACCCGATTATTTTAAATAGAATTGGCCCCGAGCCCGGCCCGACGCCCGTTCGGGCCGGGTACGGGCCGGGCCTAACTTTGCAGATCTCTAATGGAAATCATATTGAATAAAATTTAAAATAGAGGTGCTTTAAGATTTTTGAATTTTAAATATGGGTTATAGATTGGTCTGAAATTTTTTTTGCAGACATAGCCAGGCCTGATCAAAAAACCATGGGTTGAAGGGTAATTATTTAGTTTGTGTGTATGGTATTAAATATACTCTATTAATAAATTTTATATAAATATTAAAATTTAAGAGTAAAAGAGGTAAAATTGTTGCAATGCATACTGCGAGCATGTATTAGAAATATCAAAATTTAAAAATGTGATGGAAATCATATTTGATAAAATTTAAAATAGAGGTGCTTTAATATTTTTGAATTTTAAATATGGGTTAGATTGGTCTGAAATTTTTTTTCCAGACATAGCCAGGCCTGATCAAAAAACCATATCCCATGCAACTTTCATAAATTAATTAATAGTTGACATTTTTAAAATTTTGCCTGTGTATTGAATGCACTGAATACACACCTAATATTATACATATTTCTGAAAATTTAGTGGTAAATAGAACTTTAAATGCATCAAGTACCAATTCAATAGGAATAAGGTAGAACTTTAAATGGCAAGTACCCATTCAATAGTAATAAGAAATTTATTTAAATACTATTTTAATTCTTTTATTTATGTATAATTTAGGATTTTATACCATTATATTAAGGTTTCAGAAAAGATAAGAGAGATATGGAAGGGACAAAGCACACTTTGGTAACACAAACTCTTATCTAACAAGAAAAGATTTTTAGATTATAAATTACAAATACAAATAAATAACATAAATAAAATTACTAAATATATCATTAACAAATTTTATAAAAATAAAGGGAAATTTTAGAATAACCCCAAAATAAATATAAATTTTTAAATAACACCTCATAAGATAGAAAAATTTTGTATATTTACTCATAACTTCATAATTGTAGAATGTATGTTATTCATAACTTATTATAACATTTTTGATTAAATGTATGACCTTTTTGTTTTACTTATATATAATTAAACTATGATTGAAGTTAACCTCCTATTATTTGTTAACTTAGACATATCTTTATATTTTTTCTATTGTAATTTAATAACAATTTCTTAAATTTAATTATATATTTTGTAACTAAGTAATAAATCATTTGGTTTGTTTAAAATTTAAATTAGGATGACCATATTTTCAGAATAGTACTTTGATATGTAATCATGAATTTCATATAAATACCAGGAGCTCACCAGTAGAATTCTAGGTAAATCAGATATTTACCCTTCATTTGATGATAATTTTGAAATTAGACAAATTTAACTCTTACGAACCCCTTTCATCAGACCTATTTTTCTGGATCAAAATAAATTATTTGGGTTTTCCTGGGCTTGGGAAATATTTTTCACCATTAATATGGACTTGGACTTAGCTCGAGAAACATTTTTCATAATTATTATAGTCTAAGATTCCTGTAATTTTTTTAATTTTAAATATGGACTAGAAATTGGCCTGAAAATTTCTTTTGAAGACATGGCAAGGCCTGATCAAAAACTAAGGCCCATGCAACTTTCATATTCTGATTGTATTTTTAAACGCATTGTGACTTTTTGTATATTTTATTTCAGTCCTTATTATGGTCTTTTGCGGTTTTGAGAAAACCAAGTGCAAGAACCTGGCTTGGGAATTTTTTTAATATTAGGCATAGGTGTAATATTTAACACAGAATATTTATATGGCCCTCAGGTAAAATCTAATTTAAATATATTTTTATTCAAAAAAATAGTATTCACTCTTAGTCTTAATGGGTTGGCCTTGGTTGGGGGTGAGCTGGGTTAAAATAGACTTAAAAATAGATAGGGTTTTTAGAGATTTACCTATCTCCAGGCTTGAAAAAAAAATTTAAATTACTATCGGTTGGCCAGGTTTGAGAAAATTTTTTTAAAAAATTATTATGGGTTGGGCTGGGCTTGGAAAATATTTTTGTAAATTTTGGGTTGGGCTTGGGGAAAATTTTTCAAAATTATTATGAACTTGGACACTTGAGAATTTTTTTATTATTAATTATAGGTCAGACATTGGCCCAAAACAAAATTTTTTGCAGGCATGGGCTTGACCTGATCAAAAAACCAAGGCCCATGAAAATCTGAATTTTGATTGTATTTTCAAATTCATTATGATTATTTAAATATTTTATTTCAGTTCTTAACTACCAAAATTATTATGATCTTTCATTGGGCTTGGAAGAATTTTTCATAATTATTATGGCTTTGGACTTTGCCTGAGAATTTTTTTTAATATTAAATATTAGGTATAAGTAATCAGTAATATTTAACAAATAATATTGGTATTATCAAGTAAATGCTTTAAATTTATTTTTACTCAAACCATAGCATTTAGTTTTAATGGATTAAACCTGGCCTGAAGGGATAAGGGGGTAAGAAGAATAAAAATTGGATATTATTTGCAAATAACAGGTAACATGGATAAAAGTAAGAAGAAAATTTTCATTCCCCGTCATTTTTGACGGACTATCTACCAGTAATTATATATATATATAATTTTTTTATAAAAAGATCTTATCTTATAATATATTCTTCTAGTATAGTTTTATTTATATTATATATTGTAGGAAAAAAATAATATTTTTTTTGTATATAATATTTAATTTTTTAAGTAACGAGTAACCCATTACTTTGTTGAATAGTCAGTAACGCGTGTTCCCTTTTTAAAAAGATAATGAGTAACGGTACGGGGTTCCTTTTTTCAGATCTAACGAGTAATGGTAACGCGTATTTTTTGTAGTAACGTTAACAGCATTTTTTCATGATCTCATTGACTATCCAGAGAAAGGAGCACTTCACACTTTAAAAACATAATTTCTCAAGAATGAATCTCAAAGGATATGTCTCAGCTATTCTTAATTTTTGTATTTGATTCTTAATAGAATGTTTTATTTTTCTATTTAGAATAGTTAGGACACCCTTATTTTTTTTTAATAACCCCTCATTCACAGTTATCGCGAATTCGTGGCGAAAAAAATAAAGCATGGTATACTTAGCCGCGAATTCGCGCTTACAAGGGATTCAGGGTAAAGATGTATTTCTTCTTATTTTTTTAGTAACACCTATCACCTATTCAGAGAGTTATTTAGAATTCTAAAAAGAAAGCACAGCCTAAGGGGATAGGGGGGGGGGGTTGATTATTTCTTTTATTTATCATGCCGGGTATAATCCCGTATAACATACAAAATATGTTAATCCAGAAAAACGTATATAGAGTTGAGTTCAGACTAACCCCGACAGTTCCAAAAAAAATTTAAAATTTAAAAAAAAAATAATTTAAGTTTCAACAACCTTTAAAATAAACATGCTTAACAATAATTAAAGAGTGCTATAAGATTTATCTAAGAACATCGTAGATTAATTTATTACGATCAGTAAGGAATGTTTTTTTTCCTCACCTTTAGCCTTTTGAATTTCTCTATAGAGCTTATAATGCATTGAAGAAAAGAATGTATAATGACCATAGGAAAATTCTTTAATGAATTATCTCATTCCTTACATCTACATCATATTTATGTTATATTACAATAAATATAGTATTAGATACAAAAATAATGTAATTACTGCAGATAATACCACTGGAGAAGATACCATCTTCACTCTCTACGAAGGAAACGAAATCATTTTTCACGTTTCGACAATGCTCCCATATTCACACGATAACTCTCAACAAGTTTGAATATTTTTTGTTATATTTTATTTTTTTTAAATGTTATCAACATCTTAATAATCTTCATCTCATTGAATTACCAAAATAAAAAAATTAATTAATATCACTGCTTTACCATCTGTCTCTATATTAAACTTGTATCTAATAATTTAAAAGAAATCTTATAAAATTGCAAGGTCGGAATTTATCGTTTCTTTGCAAAATCCAAGGATTTTTCTCCTCGAAAACTTATATTCAGAGTAAGAAGGTTAAAGGTCTTTATTTGATAACGAATATAAAAATCTTCATTGGCATTTTTACTTCGCTAAATATTTATCATGCACACATGTTTCTTATTATCTATATTATAGCTAGAAAGAAAACGTCATATAGGCAACGATATAGTGGTCATCATCTACGAGGACGGGGATGAACCTGGTCATCACGAAAAACCTACATTTCAGCCAGGGATGTTTAAATCTCAATTCACGCGTGCGTAGTATATATTATAATATTCTAAGAAATCGTCATCAAAATAAATCAAAGCCCTAGGATTAAATAAATAAATTATTTTATCCATTTATTTTAATGAAATTTTATATTTATATAAATCGCAAAATAAAAAATAGCAAAATGGGCTTTTAAAATAAAAATGGGCTCGAATGACTCGAAATTTTTAAATTTTTTATTTTAAAAACTCATAATAACACAAATTTTATTAATGGCCAGTCCTGACGACTAATAAAAAAAAAGTTATAGTCCGAGGTTAAAAAGAAAGAAAAATTAAGTGGGTATGGCGGAAACCGATTTTTTTTCTCTTAAAGTACATTTCAACTAGGGAACCTGTATCGGCCATCACGCCTCACGGATTGAGAAGAAGAAAAAAATTGAACTAGTCGCGCTTTTAACAAACTCTTAACTGACCTATATTATTATTTAATGGCACTGTTTATTTTATTATGCCAAAAAAATAATGACATTTCTTTTATTATATCTATATTAGATATATTCGCGCTAGTAACATTTTTGAAGGAAAAAAACAGCTACAGGTTAATTATGCCTCTTACTTTTTATTGTACTTTTGTTTTATTTTATACATTTATATAATTATTGATATATGTATTGGGGACATCCGGGTTCCAGCTTTTTTAAAAGTCTACGGCCAGACCATAAAAACTTGGAATGGGCCTAAAAAATAATAATTTTATGTTAACTTATTATCTTACATGGTAAAATTCTTGAATATTTTTTTTTATTTAAGGCCACTACACTCAAAACTTGATTTATTTGTTTTTATTCCTAATGAATTAAAATAAAACTATCCTAACTATTGCCGTTTTTCAAATTTTTTTTACCAGTAAAATATTTAAATGTAAAAATAAGGTATCTTCCTTTTTTTTAACTCATATTTTTATAATATAAGCTTTCATTCCACATTCTATTCGATCAATAGTTTGGGTAATTTACTCTAGTAATTTTTTTTTCTTTATCCAAATTGATATTTGTATTTACTTTAATTTTGGTATAATGAGTAATTAAAAGTTTTAGATATGCAGAGTTGTTAAAGTAGCGCGCTACAACATCTTTTTTGGCAGCATAGCTAATAGCGCGCTACTTTTTTCCCAATTATTAATTTTTTTAGGCGCTCTTTTTTTGCGCTACTTAGCTACATTTTAAAAATATAATGAATGTAACTATAAACATGAAAATATAAATATAATATCATAATTAATTATAATTTTTATAATTTATTATTTCATTAAATTTATATTTCAATTTGTAATTTATATTTTCATTTTGTATTATAAACCTAAATCATCTGGAGTAAATTATTTAAAATGTCATGCTGAATGGATATCCAAATCGATGTAAGTGAGTCATACAATGATGATTTAATGAAATGGAAGGTACTCTGGAAGAAAATGTTCTTGATAACAATAATACACATTTTCCATTTCCAAAATTTGAAAAATATTTTTAAATTAATGTAAAAACAAAAGGTGGCTACAAATTTATTTGTTTAAAATGTAAAAAAAAATATATCCTTAAATAAATCAAGTATCTATAAATTCAAAAAAACACCTAAAGGTAACTGTCATTTTTAAATTCTAATAGTATTTATTTTATAAGAATGTTCATGCCAATAGTTTTTAAGAGATAGAAAAACATCGTAATAATTTAATATAGGGGAGACTACATCCAAAAAGACCAATTCAATTCGCTAAATTGATTAATAATATTGCACATGCCAATATTTCTCAGATACTGGCTTATACAGTCATTGTCGATAATTGATACAGCTTAGCCAATGTTCTTAATCCATCATTTATTATGATGATTTAAGCTCTATCCCCTGGTACAACAATTTTATGTCACCAGACACTAATGATTAAGATATTATGAAAGATGCTCTAATAGCAGAGTTGCTAAAGATATACTATATATGTACCACGACAGATATTTGAACACAAAACAGAAGGTAAAAGCCTTATATATTAATATTTTTAGAGCTTATTTGGGAATCATAGGCCATTGACTAATGTAGCATTAGCCCTCAAAGGATTATAGGATGCAAGATATACGATATACTTGCAAATAAATTTTATAATTCATCCCAATTTTAAACTAAGCTGGACTTATATCAATTCCGGTGTTGCTAAAGATCAAGGTGATAGGCTCATGATAAAGCTGAATAGTCTCGTATTAAACAAATATGCCCTAGTTACAACCATAAAAACGACTTTCACTGATAACTTTTTTGAAATAAAGGATACTAATATAATAGAAAATCCTTTAGACGCGATTTTTAATTCTAAAAATACTCAAATGAGTATTTTTGATAATTTTTTTTATATTAAAAATATGTATGTAAAATTAAATACTGGCTTGCCCTCAAGTGCTAGTGTTGAGAGATTATTTAGTTAGGCGAAACTTACTGATCGTTGTTCTAGACTTAGGAATGATAGTATCCATAAATAGTTATTTTTATTACATAAATTATAGTCTTTTTACATAAATTTTTTTATAATCAAAACTAACTATATTTAATATTTATAAATGTTGATTTTTATGTATTATATACTATAAACTATAAACTATACAAATACTTTATAAGCAAAAAATAAAACAGTTATTTCTAGATTTTTTCAAGTAGCCAAAGCTATTTTAAAAAATAGAAGCTAATAGCGCGCTATTTTTTTGATGGGTAGCTATAGCGGTAGCGCGCTACTTTTTTTGACAAATAGAAATACCGGTAGCAGCTACTTTTAAAATTGGGGTTAACAACTCTTCAGATTTGGAAGTAGGTTTAAAAATAAAACTTTAATATTCAATATTTCTCTATTATTTCTAAAAACAAAATGCATTTAGTGTATTCATTTTATTTTTTCGAAATCCATGATTTCTTAGTATTAAAAAATAATAAACCGGCTCAAAAATTTAAATCAGTTTTATAATAGATTAAGAGGATTTGGCCTTAGGAAAATTACGGAAATAAGATCTTTATAAAGATCATTTTTTTTTCCTTATATTGTATTTTGGTTATAAATGTAGGTTAGAAGTATTCTCCGAAGAAAACGTTCCAATATTCGGTCCACCGCTTAGGAACTCTCCCGAGTTTCCAAATCACCAAGAATTCCGAGATTTCCTATTGGTTAAACGTAAAAAAAATTTACAAACACCCCCCCCCCCTTCCTATATTCTCTATTGATGCAATTTTTTAAGTAAGCCAGCCAAGTTTTCAGAAACAATAGTCAATGATTCTCACCTTTTTTAGTCAATTGCTAAGATTATATTTAACTTTTTAGGTTATATTTGAATTTTCGAAAGAGTCATGACTAAATTTATGATTATATCGTAACTTGATCTTATATTATCTCCTCTTTTTATGATTTTGTCAAGTGAAAAGATAAGAAATGAATTTTATAATATCATAATTGAAAATACTTATTTTATTTATATGTTGTTTTTAACAAAAAAAAATTTACCTAATTGATATTTCAATCGATTCACATAAGCAAAAAATTAATTAGAATTTTCAATAAAATTTTTATATATAAATGAAGTCCAAAAGAATTACAACTCCATTTATTAAACTTAAATAGTTTTAAGGATTTTCTTCAGTTTATAATATTCATGTAATTCCACTCTTATTGAGTTGTCAAAATATAAGTCCTATGGACATGTATAAGTTCCATCAGCAAAGATTCATCGATATGTCGTTCTCCATATTATCTTTGTAATGGGATTTAAAACTGTTTTATCATTTGAATATTCCACTGAAATTTTTACTTTCGAACCAATAACCATATGATTCCCCTATTTTCGAATTCGCTTAACTTTATATAGGATATAGGAAAATATTAAAGTTACCCTCAATCCGATCTGAGACTTTTCATCTTTGACCAGAACCGTTAAAAATCAAATTTTTGGGGCTCTATTCATTTTTTCCGTTTCAAATTTTCTAAAGGCTGTCGCCATAGATATAATTCAATCTACAATATTTCTAAAGCTAAGCGCCAACATCTTAACCTTAAAACATTTAGGTTTGAACACCATTTTTGTCAAAATCTCGATGTTTAGAATCTTATTCCCTGGAAGAAGAACTTGTCATCAGCAATCCATCCCATTGATATCTTTATAAAACGCAATACGGAAATTATTTCCCATCAACAGATAACCGTAAAAAAATTAAATAACGTTTATTTTGTACAGTTAGGAATCATCCGCATTGGACAACTTCAGTCACCATTTGCTAAAAAAAAGGTGTTAAAAGCATTATTTTTAGAAAATTTTAGTGATTCTAAACATTTACTTATATCTTCCATCAAAACATTGGCTTGTAGATGTACGGATCAAACATTTTTTTAAACAATTTATGGTTCAAAGTTGTTTTGTATTTAAAAACATTGTTTTATTTAAATTCATCATTTTACTAGTAAGCCAAGGGGAGAGGGGGGGGGGGATAAATTCTACATAAGGATCTAATTATCTTAATTCAACTAGGATTGTAAATATTAATCAAGCAAAACACTGTTATTAACCATTCAACTGGTTATTACACATGTTTTCTATTTTCTCTTTTTTTATCTTATTTCCTAATCTTGAAAAGTAATCAATGGTGAAAAAGCCGCTTTTAATACCCCTATTTTCAAATTGAAACGCGAAAGGACGTTGGACATGTTGCTCCATAATTATTACGATATACATGTCGGAAGTAGCGAAATATTTAAGCCAGAAAAGGTATTGTTATTTTTTCTTATTATTCTCTTTTGTTTAATTATATTTCTTTTACTTAATTTTCACATTTATTCCATAAGAGGCTAACAGTTATCGCGAATCACGGCGGAGTATACAAAATATTATATAAATATAATATTTTTCCATTCGTTTTTGTATTCCACCGCGAATTGGCAGTAACTGAGAATGCGGGGTAATGATATACTAATGCTTGGGTGACAGCATAACAATTTAATTAACAAAGACTAATTTTAATAAACCGTTCTTTCTTTAGATATTATATTAACCCTACCCCATATCTCTCTAACCTTTTAACCTTACCCTATTACAGTCTAAGATGTTAATATAAGAAAAAAATTTAGTCCAGCCGGGAATCGTACTAAGGTTGAAATATCTTGGTGTGCCTCCTCAGTCCAGGTGTCTGAGACACAGCAGCTGTCATTCAATAAACAATGATCTTTTTGTATATCAAATTCTTGTTTTTCAGAATGCATTCAAGGGGAGTATTTGTTTAACCAGGAAAAGTGACCTGAATGGTCTAGCTCTAGCTGAGTTTATCATTTCACAATTTCATTTTTTTTAATTTGCATTTATTCATTATAAATATAAGGGTTTTTTTAAAACTAAGGATACAATATTTATTAAAATTAAATATTATAAATCTAGATTTAATTTTAATATATCTTCTTAGAACCATCTGATGTACAGGCGGGCTTTGAGTGACGTTTTTATCGAATCTCCTAAAGCAAACAAGAGAAAGGAAGATGTTAAACAAGTCGAATTTTTGAGAACTGGACAGGTTTTTTTATTTTTACTTTGATATAATAACGAATTCTTTTACACTGGAATGACCAAATTGAACCTTGATAAGTCAATACATCAAGATTATAATAATTAAATTTGAGATGTCGCATGTATTCACTCTAGATCGTTATTATACCTTATATCATAACAAAAAAGGGCAACTTGCTTTCATTATCGATTAGCTTAATTTTAGAAAAATTAAATGTTGCACTACTGCTCTATAATGAAAAGGCGAATTTTTCGAATTGATTAAATGAGCAGGGACATCTTTGAGGTAGTGTGTTGTGCAGAAGCAACACCTATAAAGATTCTTACAAGATTATTTGTAATCTTAAATACCATATTTTTATATTTATACTCAGACATTATAATTTTACCGTAAATATTAGAAAAAAGAGTTTGTAAAATCTATCAAATTTCATCATATTTTTGATTCTTGATTATGTATGATAATAAAATATGAAATCTTGCTTCACATGAGTATCCAAAATGGTTAAACATGTGGTTTAGAACATTTTAAAAACTTAAATCGTTTATAGCATACTTTTAATTTTTAATAACCTGATTTTATCGAAATCTATTCCAGCACGGAAATAAGTATACCTACCCTATTGTGAGTTTAAGACAATTTTTGGTGAACCTTTGTATGCTCTTATTATTTTCATTTTTAGTACAAATTAAATATGATTCCGGTTTACAATATAAAATCTATTCTTTGATAAATTTATTTTTTAAAAAAATAATATTATAATGAATTCAAGATACTAAAACTAAACACCATTGTTAAAGGGGATGCGCCAACCAATATCTCTGCTAGCAGCTTACTGAGACGCGAAGTTCTAATAACGCATTATTATCTTCCATTTTTTTTATCTAATACTTTTTAATAAATCATTGAGATCAACTTTTATCATTTTAGTTCTAAAATACTTACTTGAATTATAAATATTTATTTTTTTTTAAATCGCTGAATACGGATAGTTTAGAATTAGAAAATGTATTCTCGAATGGTAATTTAAAGATGGTCACTTTATGTTTTATTATCTTTTCTATTTTTCTCAATTTTATCGTTAAAATCATTAAGTTCGTTCTTACATGTCCAGTGAATAATTTATTTTGTTTTTTTTATTATCCCTTTAATTTTCGTTTAATATTTGCTTAGGGTAGTTTATATTTTATAGTTTAATCTAGAAGAATACAGTCTATTTTAGCGAACGCTCTTATACACTATAAAAAACGCATAAGGCCATTTCCAGACACAACGTTTTTACAAAGCTTTTGGTTGGGGGATGCTATCAGCAATCTAACTTCTCGAATTAATTTTTTTATATAATATAATATTTAAATAAAAAACAATTCGGCATTTCAAAAGGCCATTTAATCGTTAAATCAAACCAGTTTGTTTTCTATTTACGATTAAAAAAATGGGGATCTAGATTGTTTTTTTTAAATATTATATTATATAAAAAAAATTAATTCTAGAATTTAACATTTTTTTGGAAATAAAAAAAATTGCTGGTAACATTACTCAAAACCCGCTTTGAAAAAACGTTCTGTCTGGAAATGGCCTATGTAAAAATGTTTTTGTAATCCTTAAATTGTAAAAAATAAACAAATGAAAAATAAATAACGCATTTCTTTAAAATATAAACTAAACCCTAAGTTTACTAGTGTCATTTCTAGAATTTTTTTTCTGCCAGATTTTGTATAACATTAGACCAATATTTTTTTATTAATAAATATTTCAAAAATCGTATTCTTATTTAATTTCTTATAAGAGATATAAAAATTTTCGTTTTAACTTAATCTTAAATTCATGCGTAATAATTTTGTGTGTTATTATAAATTAAACAACCAAAAGCCCTGGGAACCTAATTGCTTTTACGCCAACTACATGCACGAAATTATCAGCGGAGACTCTTTCGGTATTATTAATTCGATTTTTTGAAAAAAAATAATATTTCAAAACACAAGATTTTGCCATATTTTAATAGACCACTTACTCGAACCTTTTATTTTTATTGACTTGGTTTGAGATTTTAAAAAATAGCATTTCCATTTCTACCCTCAAATCGGTAACACAACGAATTTCCTCAATTAATAAAATAATACCTCTTTGAACAATTTATTATTTTAATTATGGGTGTTTATTTTATTTTTTGGCTACTAAGAAAGGGATCTCACTCTTCTTTCTTTCTTTACAAATTTATTTTAATATTTCAATCTGGATGATAAAAAAATATATATTATTATATTATTCAGGTTCGAATCTCGTTATAGTGACAAAAGATGCCGGAATATTCTTATTTGAAGGTTACAATATTAATATATTTGATTATTCTGTATATGTAAAAAATTCGCTTCAATATTTTTTCTCCGTACTCTTTATTATTTATTGAGCCCCTTAATCGGTATATACAGATCTTTTTTAAATAATTTCTCTTTGTTGTTCATAGTTTCATAAGTTGAGGGGGGGGGGGGGGTGTTAGTAGATAATTTATACCTCACATATATGTATTTTATTTTTAAATCAAATTTTTATTGGAAGAACCTTAATGAATATCGAGATTGTATTATGGGAAAAAATATCTTATATTAAATAGCCATTAAAAGTATAAATATTTTTCATTCGTGGTGATCTCCAAATATTTCTAAGATCCCATTAATCTATTCATTTTTATTATAATTATTCAATTAAAGAAATTAAGATTTGTTTCAAAAAACTTATTTTCTCATTTTTGCATTATAATACTTAACAATTATTATTATAGAAGGCTGTGAGCCACGCATGCTTTTCGACAAATCTGTGACGGCAAAACAATTATCGGTTTTTGAGGAACATGGAATACTCATATTTCTATCTAATAGGGGTTTTTTCTATATAATTTATTATTTTGGAATTTTTCTTCAAAAAAAGATAAATTATTTGTGGATTTGTAGTCATTATATTTCGGTTGAAGAATGATATTTCTAATTATTATTCTTGGTGATTTTTGTTTGAATATTTCCCAATTATAACAATATTGTTTGTGTATTTAAGATAAATCGGTTAAATAAAATAGTAGTATAGATCCTCCCCCCTTTTTTTGAAATCATCTTGGACTGCATTATTTATTGTGGTCGAAACAAGAGGGAGTCATTATGTAGATTTACAAAGATTCAATGAATTCCAAAATAGACGAATAGAAAGTAGATAGGGAAAAAATACAAAGAAGATATATGAAAGATTGCTAAGGGTGTAACCCTGCTCTAGAGTTTTAAAGGATTATGTTAAATGTATTTTGTTTAACTGCGTTACTTTTTTAATTTTATGGAGAGAATTATACGGATGCCATCGAAATATCTAATAACTGTTTTATCAAAAGGCAGGGAATCGAAAATAATCGTATATAAGTTGAAGGACTTCGTAGGCCAAGAAAACCAAACTCTGATACGCAATCGTAATCAGTGTAAAGAAAATAAAATCGAGACCACTCGAGGTTTATACAGTTTCAACATTTTTGATATTTTTTTTAAATATAATAAAATATTTCTGTTAATTTATTATAGAAATTTGATATAGAAATTTGATTCATAGGTGTTCACATCCAGAATATATTACATTAGTCAATAAGTTAATATCGGAAATTTTTTTATATGATTATTTAATAAATATCACGTATAAAATAATATATATTATAGGGTGCCATATGTACGCGGCAAATAGACCATCTTCCACAAGATTGAAAGTGGCCGTTTGTATATCTAAAAAACTCCTGTTGATGGAGTGGAAACATTTGGCTTACTGGTCGTCGTGGTACCCTCAAAGTGATTTCGATATCGTAGAAGGGTTTCAATACATAAAGGTAAAATAGTATTGCTATAATATCATGGTGAATACATCTTACAGTTTTTAAAAAATTCAGGATTAGGCTTCATAGACCCCGGTATTTGAAAATTTTTAAAACGTTCAGTTAACCATTTAAACAATTTGGTTCTGAATTTTTAGGTATTTTTTAATTTATGTAAAAAAATTGATATAAATTAAAGTTATTTCAAAATTTCACTACAAAATTGTCGAATATTCTTAGGGCCACGATTCCCACAAAAATCAAGGCTTTCATAATTTTAAAAGAAAAAGCACAAATGATTATGGTCTTAAAGATTTTTTAAAAAACCCTTACTTGCTAAACCTTCTGGACATAACTAATAGTTATAATATAGATAAAAAGTTGTTTTTATGATTGTAAAATGAATTTTGATGATTGATTTTTTTTTCTCGATAGGAAATAACTTTGCCAGACGTTCCCCAGGCGATGGTTTGGTTGGACGCGGAAAAGGCTGAAAATACTTATATATGCGCCGGTTACAAGAATTATTTCGATATAATAAATGAATCATCGTCACATTTGGAAAGACTATTGACTATAGACAACAAAGTTAGAAAATATAACATGATTCAATTTTCTTTTTGACTATCATTTTGTGAGCCTATATAATTGTCATATCAATATTAAACACCTATAGTATGTGAGACAATAATTTTTGTTTAATTATTATTGAGTAAATCTATGAAACATATTTGTGTAATAGAAAAATCTTCTTATTTGGCTTAGTTAAAACGTGCGTTTCGAAAAAACTCATAGTAATAAGCCGCCAGTTATTTTATTTTTGGTTTTTTATTCAAAGTTTAGCTATATTTTTAAGATGAATCCCGAGGCCGAGTGGAGCTTTTATAGGTAAGATCTATGGACTAAAAATAAAGCAATTACTCAACGAAGGAGTGTATAATTGAGATGACAATGTTGTTTCATTAAACGGCAATCAGAGAACTTGGAGAATTTTTAATAAAACATTCATGGGAGTTCATTTTTGACCATGTTAAGGAGCTGGTCAACAGTTTAATCGGATAAGTGATTAAACAAAGCGGTGATCATGGTAAATGGCAGCACCTCTAAAAATTCCAACATTATAAGATTTTTTTCCCTGGGTGAGAATCTCATTATTATTTATTATAAAGAATTGTAATTATTAATTATCTATTTTATTTTTTCCGAATTGTCAACTCCTTCCTTACAAACGCTATTATTTATTATATAATACATTTTAAAACAAAAAGACTAACAACAACATATTGAATATCATCGATGTGACTGAAGACAATGAATTCGAAGTTATGCTCTGCTACAATCGTAAGTTGAATGCAATTTTATTTTTCAGAGTTTTTCATTCTTTCTTTTTTTCTCTCTTTCCTTCCTTCTTTCTTTCCTTCTTCCTTTCTTTGCCGGCCAAGATAGTTTGATTTAAAAATCCAGACGGATCGAGGTTAAAAATTAATTACAAAACTCGGGCCGAACCTAAGAAAGAGTTTTAAACCCAGTTCGGACCTTAAATCCGAACAGGTAACAATTTGATTATACTAGGGGTCTCAAAGTATTTATTTGCTTTAATAAAAAAATAATATTTTTAACAATATTGATATTCTTTCGATTTATAAAAATTTGTCTCATTTTTTCTTTTATATTAGGAAACGTATATTTTAAAAAGCCTTTTGAAGAAGAAGAAGAATGTTACGAATTTCGCTGGAACTCCATCCCAGACTCTATAGGTGATTATTATATTTATCAGGTGGCATGATATCTATACCTTTTTACCAATCAAACATATATATTTTATAAATCAATGTTAACAAAAGAATGAAAAGAGTTTGAAAAAAAATATCTTCGAAGAATTTTAAAAGAATTTTTTGGCCCAAAATATTGAGAGCAGTTCGTGATCACAAAATTGAATATTTTTACAAAATTTCTTTCAAAAAAAATTGTGATTTCATCATGAAGGGTTTTATGCATAAAAATCTCAAACGATTTACTTATAAAAGATTTTTTACAAACAATATTTTGAATTTTTATGTAAATTTGATCGAAAAAGTTCTTGATTTTTTATTTTGAAGGGCAATTCAACATCTGATGTTAAAACTTGATTTGGTCTGTTAAACTCATTTTTTTAATGAAAAATAATCAAAATTGTTGAAGCATAAATATCTCATGAAAATTTTTCCACATTTCATCTTGACAGAATCGAGATGATAAGACTTATATTTAAATTATCATCATCCAAAATGTGATATAAAATTAGTGACATGCTCTTTTTATAGGAGACATGTTACCCTTTATTAAAAAAATATAGCCTTTTTTCAATGCTAATTAGGGTTCCCGTTTGAAATACAAAAAACTCACAATATATCTTATATATAGTGAAGGTCAAATATATGGTCCTATCGGTCTTAGATCGGAACTGGACTGATTGTCGGTCTGATTTTTCGAGGGCCGCAATCAGGAACGGTATTTTTTTCCGGGCCGATCTTTTATTAACATTTTAGTTAGCCTTACTATTTAATTCATATAGTTTTTTAGAGAAGTTATTTTAGTTTTTGGTGATTTTTATTTTTTTTAGTTCGTTTTTTAATTGCATTATACTATGAACACAAAAAGTTTGTCAAATAAGATTTGATTTTTAAATTAAAATTTTTATTATTTATTATATTATTCATATTAATTTGATATTGTTAACATAAAATACTTTTACATTTAATAAAATGTTAAAAGAAATATTAAATTAAGTAAAAACAAAAATATTTTTAAAATAGCAAAAAAATTTAAAAAAGTCTAGACCCGTCTTTTATTTTAGGGCCGTGATATGTTCCGGTTTGGACCAACCGAATCGTGACCTTCACCTCTTATGTATTATAGAAAATCTCGAAAATTATACTCATAGATTCTGGGAAAGGTAATTCAATTGAGTTTTTTTTTAAATCGCTAAAAAGTAAAAACTAGATTTCTTATTTAACTTTCCAGAATTTTAAATGTATTATAAATCTCCCCCATTTTAGCTCTTAAAAAAAATTATTTAAAATATAACTATATATTACCTTCCCTAATATCTTTTCAATATCAATAACGATATTATCTTCAAGATTTTCTAGAATTTTTTCGATTTTTTAAATTTAAAACTTCTTAATTACAAAAAAATATTTTCATCACTCTTTCTTTTAAATTATATTTTGGTTTTTTTACAAAGTGTGCACTTTTCCTTATATACTGGGATTCACTTCGAACGGTATCGAAATACGGTTAGCGATAAATGGGAACCTGGTGGATACGATTGAATTACCCAGTGTTAAACTGATATGTTCTAAAGTTTTTTTACAATTTTTTATTTATTTTTATATTTTCGTTCCTGTTTATTTTAAAATTTTAAACTGTTTCCGTTCCAATTGTTCTGATGATGTTCCAAAATTTGGCATTTTCGTGTTCCACAACATTCTGGGTTATAAAATATAATTTTTTTTTAATCAAGTTATGCAGTTTAATATCGAAAATAGTGATGAGAAAGAAATAAATCTCGTTATCGTTATATAATTCATCAATAAACATTTTTTTTATATTATAAACTATAAATATTTTAAAAGAGGGTATATATTAATTATATGTATATTGTTTATGAAAAACTCTTATACGCTAAAAAAAAATATTTTAAAAAAATTTGATTATTATTTGAAACAAAAAATCAAGAATGATATTTTCTTCGACTCACCTGTCCCTGACGCTTACGTAGTTATGCGATCGCGGGAAAAAGAGAAGGAGAATATGCATTCCCAAAATCAAGCCGGAAGTAGTTTTAATTATAACGTTAATCAAAATAACAACACTTGGGACACTAATTTTAGTTGCAATAGTCCACCAATATCACCCTCGAGTAAAATAAATAATAATTTATGCAAATAATATAATTAATTTAATGCTCCTTTAAAATTTGATAATTGAGAAAGCTTCACGTGTTTTATATGTGGAAAAAAATAACTTCATTTGATTATAAATAAAGTATTTTATTTACAGGCGCGTACGCAGGAATTTGGTCTGAGGGGGGGGGGGGGGGGGGGGATAATAAAATTTTTTAAGAAATATTATTATTTTTTAAAAATATCAAGAATAAATTTATTAGGACTAATAATTATTTCTAATACACAATTTTAAACTAATGTGAATTATAAAAAAATTATATGTATAAACCTGCATATAAAAAACTATAAAATAATGTGAATTAAAAAATATTAAACGGATATAACTGGAGGTATGTGAAAAGCTATAAAATAAATGTGAATTAAAAAATATAAAGTGAATATAACCACTATGAAACACTTAAATGACCCAAAATAGAAATTTGAATCTTTTGAGGGCTTTTAAAATTTATATATAAAGTATAAAAAATTCAAATGTTGGAAATATAAATTAATACACAAAATGTTTCTTAGGAATAATTGTATTTTGTATTTTATATATTTACAATGTAAAATCCAATCTTCGTTGGAATTGAGCTAATTTTTCAATTATCTCATCCTTGATTGTGGTCAAATGCCTATGAATATTTAAAAGATCCAAACCTTTCAATCTACTTTCAGAAGTTTTATTTCTTGGTATGTTTTTCAAAGACCTGCAGGCCCGGCCCCCGGGTTTTTAAATATACCTGGGCCGGGCCCGAAATTTTTTAAAAAAAACACCTAGGCCGGGCCTGAAAATTTTAAAAAAATATTCAGGCCGGACTGTATATTTTAAAACAGTCTATATTTGAAATCGTTATTATTAGATTATAAAATTTAAAAATAAATATAATTTATTTTAAAAAAATTCGGGCCGTGCCTTGCAAATGGTATTTCTGCAGGACTCTATTATTCTTCTTAAAAAAGAGAATGTTCTCTCATTAGTTTACTAATAGGAAGAGTTGCTAATATATATAAACCCTTTTAATACATTGGGAATATAATCTAAAATGTGTTTGAAATTATGCAGAGCATCCATAGTATTTTTTGGGACTATATCAACCATAGTTAATCTTATAAACATAGTATTCACCTAGTAAGGCATCATAAGATACTAGCATCTTCATGATTAAAATACAAATATTTTTTTTCTATCACCATCTGAAAAAGATTGGGAAGGCTTTTGTGGAAGTAATATTTTCGATTGGTAAGTGCTGCATGATGAATTAAAAACCTTTCATTTATTTGGGTTATAAATGTATCTGTATCTAAGATATACTCTTCTACTGATCCTATATTAATGTTTTAACAAAGAGCTTGCCTTGCTGCAAGTCGAGGGAGACAAATATTAAACACGTATAGCTCTGCTTTTGACTCAACAATAACATATAAAATATGAAATTCTTCATCAACATTAGCCCTAGGGGGGGGGGTTTGTTCCCCTGCCCCCCCGCTTCGTACGCGCCTGTTTATTTAGTAAGATCATGGTCCAGTCTAGAACTGAAAAGACCAGATTAGATCGAGATACGATATGTCCGATATTCGTCTAAAACCAAAACATGAATGCTACTCGCACTAGTGTTTTTATTTACCTCGAGCAAAAATTGAACATAAAAATTATTTTTTTATATAATTTTCCATTTTATAAAATTTTGTCTTATCTACAATTATATTATACCTCCATTATCTTTCCTTCTTTCAAAATCCTTTATAAGACACAACTATTGCATTAAAAAAATAGGGTAAAATATTTATATTTTGTTCTTCAGCCAAAATCCCTATTCACATTTATCAAATATCCATAAACTCCTTTCTGGGCACGCACAATAATTATGCTTACAACAATAAAACCCACAATGTCACTCGACATTCGAGCGCTTGCAACGAGAACAATTTGAATCTGGTATCTCCTGCTACCATTAGGCGGAGGCGAAGACAACCCCCATTCCCAGATAGTAACACGTGCCCTTCCGATATAAATCATGGAATTGAATGTAAAGACCTCGCAAACGATCATCTTAGCTACACCTCCTCTAACTCGGGTTATTTTTTTATTTTAAAAAATCTCATTTCCACAGAAATGTATTCTAATATTGATCTACAAGGCCTGGCCTGCCTCCACCCTCCGGGGTCTGAATTTATTTTGGTCTTAGGTGAGTCTAATTTTTAAAAATAATTTTGGTTCGGGCTTTGACAAAAAAAATTTTTTAAAATTTCGAGCACGGCTCATTGATATTTAGGCCCACTAATGTATATGTCATATTTGGATTGGGTAATTTTTTGAATTTTATAAAATCCGATTGGCCGAAAATATATTCTAGCAAGTATGAAATACCCACACTGAATATTTCAGATAAGTATTTCATAAATTTTGAAATATACTTATTTTATATTATCATTTTTTATAGATAATTTTATATAAATTGACAAAACGCATAAGCGAAAATTGTTTGAACTTCCTAAGGACGTCACTTTAAACATGTTGGAACACCTTTTCGATGAAATCAGACTTTCCAAAATTAATAATTTCCTTCTCAATAAAGGATTTAAAATTGAAATATCTCGAATCTCAATGGAATCCATATAACAATATGACACATAAAATGTAGAACACCGTAGTAGCTCTATGAATTTAAATATTAATTCTTCCGTAAATTTTTTTTGTAGCAATTAAAAATGAAAAAGGTTTTTGACAAAACTGTTTAATTCATGGCGTTAGGTTCTCTAAACCTTTGCTCTAATATATTTTCAGTTGGTTTTTATAAAACTAAAAAAACGCTTTCAAGAAATAATTTAAAGTTTTAAAAAAATAATAAACACTTGACGCCAAAATATTATACGCAATAATACGATAAACTCGAATTTAATATGCTAATTATATGTATAAATAATCATTTTAAGCTTCCCTTGACACAAAATGTGGCAACAAAGACACTCCTAATTTCTCCGTGGAATCATCCGATATCTTCCTCCAAATGAAAAATGGAGTTATGGGACCACCCGTAAAGGGAGAATTCCGCTCTTGCACATCAGCAAGCGAAAACTTAGGCGACCACCAAGTGGTCAATAACAATAATACTTTGAAGAAAAAGGCTCAAAACATTTCCATCAGTTCAACCACAAAATCCCAAGGAGCTCAAAGGGTTATTCCGGAAACCAGAAGCTCTCGGCAATCGGTTACTCAAAATAAAAGGGTTTCTAAGTCGGAGTTGAAAAATTTGATAATCTCGGGAAAAAACGAATCAAAAAAAAAGCATTCCTATTCCTAAAAAAATTTTATTTTTTTTCTCTCTTTATTTTATGAAGTTATTTTGTTAACTTTTAATTCTTTTTTTTTCATGACCCTAACCCTTATTATTTTTTTAAAAAATCAACTTTCGATTTTTTGAGTTTAAAAAATATTAATTTTATATATATATTAATATTATATTGGGATATGAATCCATGGTGTAATAACTAATGACAATTCTTAAATTTGAAAATGTGATTTGATCGTTTCAGCAATTTTTGGTGTACCCACAATATGAAATTCAAGTAATTTTGCAGTGATCCCTTCAACTACTTTTTGTTTATTTTAAATCATCCCAATATTTCTTGTTCTAATATACCCCCTTTTTTTACCTTTTAAACATGTTTCATGCCCTTGATATTTTTATTACTTTATTGGTAATTCGACAATACAAATAAATTCTTCGATAATTTTAAATGGAAGAATAACTAAAAAATAAAAATATAATAATGGTTTTTCACTTTTTTTTCTTCTTTTATATATTGATCCTAAAAATTAATAATATTGCCAAAATTAATAATATTACAAAAATTAACAATATAACACAAATTAATAATATAACACAAAATAAACAATATAACACAAAATAAACAATAACACAAAATTATAATAAACTACAAATAAGCATGTCGATTGTAATAGTTTATATTAATTTTTTTATCAATCATTTAAACTAAATAATGCATTCATGGCGACAATTATCTGAAGTTTATACAGTAACTTAATATATTTCGGTCAAATCTGATATTTAAAATTGTCCCCAGTTAATTATTTAAAATCGAGGGATTTCTAATCCCAATGAATTCCATATCACAATTATGACATATAAAAAAATTATATTTTATTGTTCGTTCTAGATTGGATTTCCAATAAATTATAAGTATAAAATATGTCCCAAACTCCGTCACAAATTTTTAGAATTTATTGTTGGTTTTTTTTTAAAATTAAATTTTTATAGGATTTATATTTTAAGGTTTAGTTGTAAAATAAATCCAAAATAAAATCTATTAACTATTAAATCAAATTATCATTGATATAACAAAAAAAAATTCAGAATCCTAAAAATATGATCAATTATCTTTTTAAAACATTTATATGTTTTATCGGATATTTGTTGGGACCTTATATACTTATACCGACCGATTATAAATGCATTATTCAATTAATTATTATATCATCCATTTATAGAAAAAAAAATCTATATTGATTATTTTGTTATTGACCATTTTGTATATACATAATTTTTAAAAATATATTATATTGTTATTTATATTTGTTATTAAATAAAATGTATCAAATTTTAATGATAAATAGTTTCTTTTATCGTAATTTATATTATTTGAACATATAAATTTTAATGCATAATAGTGTATTTGTATCTCAAATAAAACTTATTATTTATAATACATAAAAAAAATGTTATTAAATTAAAATAATATTTGTTTCCTTACAAATTGTTTATCAAAAAATATTGGATAGGGCCGATACGTATAACAAATTTTTATTATAATTTTTTTGAGACTTGCGGAGGTATTAATATTTCCAGAAGTGGCCCAGCCCGGATTTTTTTTAAAGATATTTATTTTATTTTTACAGATGTCGATTCACAATATTTTGTTTTAAAATATTCGACCTAACATGGGTATTTTAAAAAAAAATTTTTAAAAAGATTAATGCGGCCCGGGTATATTTAAAGGACTTGGAGCCAAGCCTACAGGTCTCTGATTTTTTTTTCAATATTGCAACTAAGTTATAGACATTTTTTATAAAGGAAGATAATTTGCGGAACTCTAATTTCAAGGGGAAGAACAATTACCAATGTCCAAAAACATTTAAAACAATTCCATCAAACTACATATGAAGAGTTCATACCAAAAGAACCAAAAATATTAGAAAAAAAATCTCAAATTTTAAAAAAGAAGAACCTCGAAAGTTATCTACAACATTAGCCATGCGCAATAATACAAATATTTAGAAAATTCTAATCCCAAATCCATAATTGTTTCTAAATTTATAGGAGATATGATAGCCAGTGATATCTTGATCGATGACGGCTTTAAAGGGTTTTACATCATTTATGTCCAAATTATTCCCAATAGAAAGTATTTTTGCAAGGTGTTATTCTTGATATAAATGAGAAACTCTCCAGAAAAATTGGAAAAAATTTTGGTTGAGGATTATTTATTTTTGACTAGAAATTCAGGTGGCGATTCTCAGAACTTATTAACATGCTATTATATAAACCGACTTTAAACGAATAAATTAAATGTTAAAACATTTAATGTCAAATATAACAATAAACATGGCTCATTTTTTAGATTAATCATTGGGGGATTAAAAAATACAAAATAAACCTAATCCATTCAAGATAATGCACATAATATTTGTGATCGGCATCAGGCCAATCTTTAAAGCCCGCTCCGAAATTTTTTTTCAAAAATATATCTTGCCTGGCCCAATCCCGAACGAATTTTTTTTGTCTCAAAAGAAAAATTATTTATCCACCTATTCTTAAAATATATCAATTTCTTTGACAAAATGTAATATCAAATTTAATTTAAGCTTACTCAAAATAGCCAGACCCAGTCCAAACCGAAATTATTTTTTTAAAAATATACCCGGTTTTGGGCAGAGCTGTGATTTACAGATCTCTACCTAATATAGCCTTAACCATGAAAAACGGGAAATTCCTAAACATTTCCTGTTTTGCCCATTTTTATTATTAGTTGTAGCCATCAGTTTTATCACAGATCAATCACCGGCATGCTCGCTCCGGTGAGAAAAATAGTAGGGGACTTTAAACATTTTTTTTCTAGTGCGCACAAATTAAGTTTCAACGCAGTATTTCAAAACACAAATAATGCATTTTAAATGTATTCATTTAAATTGGAAAGCATTTTTTTTTGTTTTGAATTTAAACGTTTCATATTAAAAAAAATAAAAATTAACGGTTCAATTTACGTTTTGAAACGATGCGGCGAAACGTTCAATTTGTGTGCACTATAAAAGAAATTTGATGAGTCTAACACTAGGCACAAATTAATCTAGGACATGCCGTTGGATTTCTAGCTATTACATGCTCAAACGATTGATATAAAATAAACAGGCGGCACAGTCATTATCAATAATCCTAATTTGAGGAATCTTTCATAATATGAGGGAATTAGCAGAAAGGGTAGTGCTTTGGAACCAATTCAGAGGGTAACAAAAGAAATAAGTACGGAATCATGTTCAATTAGCAATGTTATACTCCTTGTTGAAATTCTAAAAAGTGAATTAACAATTATTGGAGATATTGATAGGTGTGCAAACCATGAATAATCAATCAGAATCGGGTTTTTGATATTTAAGATGAATACTATCATATATATCTTTTTACATAAAAACATTTTATATACTGAGCTCAGGATTGCATGCGAGTCTTGTTAAAAATGATAATGTGCAACTTCCAACTCCCAGTAAGGATTTGGAAAGTTTTATATTTTTTTAAAAATAAGTTTAGATTTTATTGATAATTTAGGTAATGGAATAGTGTCTCACATAGCATAAAAAATAAATTCAATTTAAAGGGATGCATATAAATGAAAAATCATAGAGAAACAAGATAAAAATAGATTGAAATGTCATATAATCTACTGTGCGTGAAAGAAAGGAAAATTTAAAAGAATCTTTGAATCTAAATGGCAACAATATATTATATCTAGTGTTGTTTGACTGAATTATTCAACCCATTTGTTTGGGCGATATCTGATTATTTTTCCAAACCCAGGTTTGTATGAAACCCACTATTTTAATCATGTTAATTTTATATCTGTTTATTTCGATAACTGTAATAGGAATATTATATCAGGTGTGGATCCACTTGACTATTGGCGAATTAATGCTGGAAAATCCAACTTTGTCAAAAATTGCATGCAACATTTTAGTGCCTCCCGCAGCAAGGGTCCCAATTGAGTGTCTTCAGTAAGGCAGGGGATAGAGAACTGCACGGGCTGTCCGTAGCCCGACCCGACCAAAATATTTTTCTCGGGCTCGGGTCGGGTTGTAAAAGCTGTCCAACCCGAAAACCCGACCCGACCCAAAAATAAATAATAATATTAATATCTTAAATAGTCAGTATAATTTATAATATTAATTATAAAATCATATTATTTAATATTTATCACATTTTAGGATTGTCAATCATATTAACATGTCATGTCATTATTAATTATTATTTTATAAACCTAACAACCGGATACCAAACTATTTTATCACTAAATTGTGTGTTTCCCGTGAATTACAAGATAAGACATATTTTATGTACTAAAGATAAGTTTTATTCATTATTTATCTAGCCTATTATACATTGTCTTTTTTAACATTTGTTTTAAAAAATTTCCATATAAAATTTAAGATTGGGATTTGATTCAGGGGAACTTATTTCTAATTTAAATTTCACTACCAAAAATGTTAATCATCCTAGAAATTAAAAAATATTATATAAAATTGGTAATGATATTCTAAGTTACATTTATATATAAAATATAATCTTTACTTATTTCGTTTTGGTATTATTATTTTTTTATCTATCTACCTTAATATGAGTTGTAAATTTTCCAGCTAATTTTGGTTGTCAATATTTTAAAATATGGCAGAAAAAAATTAGGAAATTAATACAAGATTCTCAAAGAAAATAAGATGTATACTGTGATATGTAAAATTTAAAACATGAATATTAAAAAAAATCTGTATCTTTTGTCAAGAAAATGAAAAAGATACAAGATTCTTTTCAGAATTAAGGATCTTAGATACAGATATCAGTATCTTATTAAATATGTCAAAATATACTGAGTACAAGATATAAAGGGATCTTGTATCATGTATCTTTAGATACAAGTATTCACAGTACTGCCCAACTCTGTTTATTTCAGTCTAATTGATTAAAGTCATTTTAAATATTTTTTTTAGATTTTAGACAAAGCCATATTAAAAAAAATATCTCAATGGATGCAAAATTAAAAAAAATTGGTGAAAAGATTAAGATAAAAGAGTATGAAGTAAGGAGAATCTTAATGGAAAATCCGATGTATGGAAGAAATTTTCATTTATATATGATGAATAAAGAAAAACTTAATTATGTCATTTGTATTATATGAAAATTTATTTATGTATATAATTCAATAACAACAGGTTAGATATTTATACATAAAATATGATCTTATTAAATTATTTTAGGCGGCTAGCAGTGAAAGGGCGTTTTCAGCTGCTGGTAGGGCCTTTGAGGAGAGAAGGACTCGTTTAAAGCCAGATAAACTGGACGCCTCTTTATTTATATATCATAATTCACTTTGTGTTAATTTTGATAATGATATTGATGAAGTCAATATAATATAATATGTTCATTATATTTTTTATATATTTATTAACTTTTATATCATTTCTATATTCGCATAAATGATGCATTATATAATCGTTATAATTTTTAAATTCGCTTGTATATTAATCGTTTTATAATATTTTTTACAAATTTAATAAAATGCAACTTAATATATATCTTGAATAGATTATGGCCGTCAAATAAACTTTTATTTAAGGTGGCTGAACTGAATAAATACACATAAATTATTTTTTGGTTATTATAATATTAAAACTTAAATTGCAAAATTTTATTCGGGTCGGGCTCGGGTCGGACTAAAAAATGTGTGCTCGGGCTCGGGTAGGGCTCGGACAAAAAATTTTTTTTTATTCGGGCTCGGGTTGCGAAAAAATTACTTTGCAGTTCTCTAGCAGGGGATATATAGTCCACATCGTAGAAGTTTATTGACAGAAAATCTATAGGCTCTAATATTTTTTTTAAATCTAATATATTATAATTTTATATAATATTACTATTTTATATATACCATACTATTTAAAATAAATGCATACATTATATATATTTCTTTTATCTATTATAATGTAAATTTTTGTCTTAATTGTAGAAATAAAAATATTAAAATTAAATTAAATGCATAATTCGACATTTTGCACAGAAAATATGGTTTTTTAAAATAACATTTAGTAAGGGGGGTGGTAAAAAATCAATATGAACAATTTTGAACCAAATCATATAGAATCGGTGAAATATATGTGGATCGGCACAGCCCTAATTTAAATATATCTTAACAATTTATGGGCAATTAAAACAACACAAATCAGATGTTTTCAACTTTTAATTATGATTTTATCTATTTTTTTTTTAAAAAAATGGTTTTGTATTTCTTTTCCAAAACTTTACAATAATAACAACAATGAACAATAATATAAATTTAAAATATTATTATCATAATAATAACGAATAGTAAAAAAAAATGATGAAATTGGAGTTTATATGGGCGTATCAGATTTCTCCATAATAATTAAAATGAATGAGAATAAATATTATTCCAGAAACATTTTTTTAATATAAGAAAATGAAAATATATTTTATTTTTAATAAAAAATAGAGCGAATTATGCGATTGGCTGGATGTTTTTATAACACGTGATAACTAACGAATGGAGATAATATTACTAAAATTTATTATATATAATATATATCAAAAAAGAGCCAAAAGTTGATTGTTATAATCTAAAATAAAATAATTTTAATGTCGTCTTGATAATAGGAATACTTGGTAAGGAATTATAAAAAAAAATTAATAATTATGTTTTGAAATGAAATAATGACAAATAGTCATGATATCAATGAATTGGTTCCTCAGATTATTAATTATTTTTAAATATGATTATATTATTATATAATATATGTATATATATATTTTTAAAAAAAAGTGGGCAAAAAATAGTAAACCCTTATTTATGTTTGTCTAAAATACGATACGTAATTTAAAATTTTTTTGTTACGATTAATATAAAAAAGAAATATTCAAAATATATATTATAAAAGTTTTTTTAAATCATCGGATCAAAACATTAGAAGGCATACTGGGAAGAGGGGGGGGGGCTAAACTAGAGGATAACGATTGATTATGTTTGTGAATATAATTATTTTAGGTGTACATAGTAGATAGAAAACAAGATATAATAATTATTATCTTTCAAATTGTCAAAATCCAAAAAATGAGAAATAAAATAAATGAAGAGAATAACAAAAATAACAAAAAAACAAATGTGCAATAAGAAAAAATTCCGGTTTGTTACGTCAATAAATTATCAATATAATATATTATATAAGTTTGTATGTTCTTTATGCTATGTTTCATAAATTAAAATAAAAAAATACAGATATATATGAATTATTTCATATTTCTATCATCGATTATAAAAAAAATAATAATAACGAATTTTACGATTGGTCGACCTAAATTTGTGCCTTCAAAATTTTAAAAAAACTTTAAAAAATGGTAATATCATAAGTAATTATGCGAATTGTCAACATTAGCATCGATTTTAACGTTGTTTGAATGGGTGTTATTGACGAGAGTGGGATGGTCATTATCCACGTTTAAGCCTTCGTCGTGACTATAGCTTTGATTAATATTGCTGGTATTGTAGTTATTATAGTAGGCGTTGTAGTAATCGAATATACGGTTAAGGTTGTTGCTGTAATCGGAATTATGGGCATATTTTAGGGCGGGATCAACAATAGATTCGCTTTTGAGATGATCTGCCAAGGGGTCGTTGTTGTGGATAGGAGTACGGGAATTAGAGGCAGCGGTAGCTCGGTTGAGTAAGAGATAATCAATGCTGCTAGACTCATCGTGGTCGAAAAAAGAGGAGTAAGTGGAGGTTTGATGGGCGGGATCAGAGTAAGGTATAACAGACGAATTGGAAACCGCTTGTTGTTGCTGTAATTGGTGATGGTAGTTATGTAAGGGTTGTTGTGGAGGGTGTTGCAGGACCTGAGAGTTTCCTTGCCATGAACGAAAATGAGGATTGGCTGAGGCGGGAGCTAGTGGAAGATTCACAGTCGCTGAAGATGATGACATGAGTTTGAGATCAAATGTGGGCAATGTGAAAGGGTTACTGTGTTGTACCTGATGAACGGGGGGAGAAGTAAATGATTTACCGATTATTCCATTACCAGAATTTCCAAAAAAGAGAGCGGCAGCAATGGGCGATCCCATTACATTGCGTCGAGCCTCGATCGATAGGTCGTCTAAGGGGGTGGAGGCGTTGAACCCGCGGGGGTACATTGCGCTAAGGTTATCGACAGGGGCGGCTTCATACACTAGGCCGTCATCAAAGTTGAGAGATTTAGTTTTATAATCATCTGTGGCACTCTTACCATAGGGATATTTGTGAACCAGATGCTGGGCTAAGGAGTGGTCAAGGTGAAAATCATTATCGATGTCTTCTTCGTATGGGGAACTGTTGTATTTACTAACCATCTTCTTCAACAAGTAAGTCTCAGTGACTCCAGCATAAAAATCCAAAAAATTTGGGGACGCTTCATGGTTGGATCTGGAGCCCTGAAGAGTCAAGTCGTCTATCCCTGCCGCACTGTTGTGGCGACCTTTCCCTATAATGCTGCTGTTCATGAGGCCGAGATCAGGAATGATGTTTGCACGTTTACTATGGACAAATTTAGTGTGCACTATTAGTAAAAAAGCAAATTTCTCAGGCATTAGGATGTAAAAAAATAATTGTGTAAACGACAAGTAGTAAAAAAATGAAAAATATTTTTTAAAAATTAGAAAATCGTTAAAAAAACTATTTATTATATTTTTGTAAATTATAATAACAACATCTGGTAGATTTATTTATTTTTATATTGTAGCTTAATGTTAGTATATATTCAAAATGGGCGAAGACCTTATATGAGCTAATTGTTTAGAATTATAGATCACAATTGGCAGGTTTTAACAGTTTGAATAATAAAATATTCTAGGATAACCCACCCTGCCAGTTGTTTAAAAAATATTTTTTTCAGCACTGTATAAGTGTTTTCAAAAGCAGGTTAAAATAGGTCTGATGAAAATCTATTCTCAATAAAATTATCATATTAATTTTTAATATTTATAACAATAAATCCTTCTAACTACTTACAAAAGATATATCAATTTTGTACTTTATAAGTTTATTCTCAGGAAGAATCCGGAGAAAATATGATTACTTTCTTACAAAAGATATATTAATTTTGTACTTTATAGTTTATTCTCAAGAAGAATAGGGAAAAAATATGATCTTAGGAGCATAACATGAAATAAAATATGAAAATTGGGATTTGCGATTTAAAAATTAGATAATCAAAATCCTGATCCATGATTAGTTTAAATTTTATTTTTTAGTATAAAATCAAAAATCATCAAACATAAACCTGATGGTTTGATGCTTACTTAATTCAACCACATAAAATTATCTTTAAAGCAAATATGATTACCATCCAGATTCTCGATGGGTCTATTTAGCGCAACTACGAGTTTGGAGTCGATATTTAAACGGGCCAAAAGCTGTTGTATAATGCTGCGATCATGCTGGCCGGGTGATTTTATGCGAACACCATCAATTGCAATGGATTCAATCCGTTTAGCAAGCGGAAGCGAAAGTGGAGATACGGGCTTATTTACCTCGTAGGCGGGCAAACCAGAAGAAGGAGTAGCTATAAATTGTCGAATTTTACAAAAAATTAAATAATAATTCACCATAAATGATTTCCGTCTGTGAAATTTTTTATTAAAGTTTATTTTATCGAAAAGTCTTATGCTTTACAAATAAATTAGAATAATTTGTATAAATTTTTTTAAGGTTAGATGTTACATTCCCCTAAAAATTTGTTAGACATGGGATCCAGCTACAAGTAACTAGTTATCTGTTGATATTAAATTTAGCAGAACTCAGTTAAAGCTCATCTAATTACAAATATTAGAATTTTAACCATCGACAACTGCTGAATAAGTCCGAGGCTGAAATTTCGGGTCATGTTTAACGTGGATTTTTTGGCGACTATACCTAGCCTCTATCATGCTTACCACGAGTGGGAAAAATGAGCTCATGGTGGAAGACGAGGGTACTGGGGGCGTCACCGAGTGGTTTATGGCGAGGGAGTCTTGGGAGGACATGTTATCACCCTCGCTACCACCCACGGGGGAAAGAAACAAGGGTGGACTTGAGCCTGAAAAAACACGGTTGAGAGAAGCATTTGCCTCAGGACTGGCTGCTAGATTGACGAGCGCGTTCCAGATGTCAGCATGGTCCTTCACCTTTAAAAAAATTGTGTTGAAAATTTATTTAAAATATTATAGATAAAATTTTTATATAAAAAATTGATTCAAAAAAAGGAGAACCAATTTTACAAAATTTGAAAAAAAGATTTTAAAACTTAGTGTTTGCTGGATAGTGAATTCCAAACATTTCATTCAAATTTCACAAAAAAATTTTTTTTAATCTACATTGAAAATCGAATTAAAGGTATAAAGGTAGTGCTTGATGATGATGAGAAAAATAATATCAAACAGGGCACGGCAATAAGAATAATCATTATATGATTCTGATAAAAATATTTCTCTCGGAATTCCATAATTTATATAGCTTATTTGTGAGGTCCTCATTTACTTCACCAAATTTGTGTAACTTTTATTTCTCTAACATCGATATATTAATTAAGAAATAAAACATTAAAAATGATATACCAACTTGCTATATCAGTATTTGATATCTTTTTATTTGATATCATATTGTAATATTATAATTATTATATAATAAATATGTTTTTAATAATATGAAAGATACAAATTAATTTGATTCTAAGCTTATTTGTTAAATGGTATTTTTCAAATATTAAATGACTATCATCTAGAAATATATCTAGATAGAGATCGATTGTATCTAGATTAGAGGTCTGCATTGGGCGGGGTTTCGGCCTGCCCGCCTATCTAAGTGGGCGGGCGGATGGACGGGTGAAAAATTTTTCGAAAATGGGCAAGCGGGCGGGTTAAAAAAATTTGAAATTATGGGCGGGCGGGTTAAAAAAAATTTAAACTATGGGCGGGCTGGGCGGGCGGGTTAAGAAATTTGAACAATGGGCGGGCGGGTTAAGGAATTTAAAATTTTTGTTCAAAAACAAACTAAAAAAATTAATTGTTTAAATGAACTATAAATAACAATATTTCTTTTTTATTGTACCAATTGTTTTTTTAAGTGGAGAACATTTACCTAACTATATTATGTAATAAACACAACAATAAACTTTTATATTAGAATAAATAAACATTTTTGTCTATTAAAAATTTCCTTTTATGGGAATGTAATAAAACTTTTCTCTTAAAATTTCCTTTTTTTGGGTTTGCAATCTGCATTGTATTATTTTATTTTAGTAATAATTGTTTATCTTTTTTTACCCCTTTCCCCAAATGCAAAGAGAATCAAATTAAAGCGTATTAATTAATAAATTATAAAATTGCTTAGTTCTATTAAATGCAATGTTTGAAATAAATAGCATCCGCTTCAAAATTAAACCCCAACATATGGGAGGATGAGGTTGTTACAGAGGAGAGTATTGTACCTAATGACATAACAAAATATTTAAATCTTAAAGTAACCAGTTTTGATATGTATAATTTAGCAAAATTTTAAGTTGCATATTACAATTAATTTAAATTACTTTATTAAATTTATTATAATTGGTTTCACTTTTATTTAAAGATCTCAATTGAGGAAGAGGATATACTTCAAACGTATATCCTACTTTGGCGGAAACAACAAGAAAGAGATTGCCAAAGCTATCAAGATTAGCAATAAAAATATTGGCAATTCCTGCAACTAGTGCTTCTTCCGAACGCGGATTTAGCATTGCTGGAAATATTTTTAGAACAAAGAAGAACGTGTTTGAATCCAGAAAATGTCGATTCATTATTATTTTTGCATTATAATTACATATAATATTAATTTTACATTTATATTTTTTTCATAAATATTCAATTTGATCAAATAAATTGTCCATAATTTACATTGATTATTTTTATACTTATATTAATTTCCTAAATTATAAACTTTTTGTAGAGTAATGAAATATTTTTATTAGATGCTTAAAAAAATGAAAGAATAACCATAATTAAATTTTATAAGCAGGCTTGGGTTAAAATTTTTTATAAATAACACTGTGTGACAGGAAAAATGGGAGAAGATAATAAAAACAAGTTTTGGTGCAGAATTTGACGCTGAGTAAATTTTCCCTACACGCCAAGTTTTAAAAATATTACCGTATAAAGACAACTTTTCGAAATCTCAAAAATGGTAAAATTTAGGTCTTTATACGGATATATTTTAAAAAGTATCTAATAAAAATCCCTGAAAATTGGTGATAGTGTTAAACTATATTTCTTTATAAATTTACTAATTTTTATAATTTTTTATAGATTGGATTTTGAGAAAAATGGTAAAGAATTTTGTTTTGGGGGTCTTAAGTTTTCAATTTAAATTACTATCAAAATTATTAACTTTAGAAGATAAATTTTATATAATTTTGCTTATGCTCAAGATTATATATTAATTCTAATTATGTTTCAAAAGTACTCTATGCCATGAAAATTCAACCAAAATCTATAAATTAAAAAAGTCGGTACAGATATTTTCGAACTTCTTAATTTGTACACTTTTATTGAATTTTCTCTGCATAAAGCATTTTTAAAGCAAAATTAAGGTAATATTTATCTTTTTTAGTTGTATTTAGTAATATTTTATGCATTTATGATCAATTTATACCAAAATCAGATATCTGTACCCACTTTTTTAATTTGTACTCTTTTTGAACTGAGCATTTTTGAAGCAAAATTCATTTAAAATGCAATAATTGGTAATTTTTTCATATTTTTTATTAATATTTATCTTTTTTTGATGTTTTTAAGAATATTTGTTTTTTTTAATCAATTTATATCAAAATATATGATTTTCCAATGGAGTACCTTGAACCCGTAGTATGGGCAATAAATAATAATGCCAAATAACGAGTAGGAAGAAAGGAGAAGAATTATTTTTTTTCGCACTTAATTTTTCATAAACATTTAATTTCTTTCATTAATTTTTTTTAAAATAAATATATTAAATGTAAGCTATATTTAAAAAGATTTTATAAATAAAGGTAAATTTAAAAAATATAGGTTGTTTAAAATTGAGTAAGGATTTTTTTTTAAAAAATGTATAATAATAATAAGGAAGGTTTGCTGCAAAAATTAAGATATTTTTTTAGTTGTAGGTAGGGATCATTAGAACCGAAGTTATAAACCTTCAAAAAGTGCTAAAAATGACCTATTTGGCCACTTTAACCTAAAATAAATAAAAAACCTGACGTGCTAGAAAAAAACTGACAGCGGATTTAGAATATGCTTAAAAAACTGTCTTAAAACATGTTTATTTTATTTTCTCCCAAAAAATCAAGTCGAAATTTGTCACAGAGTGTAATGGGAGGGCAGGTAAAAAATTTTAGACTAATGGGCGGGTGGCCAGGTAAGGAATTTTAGACAAATGGGCTGGGCAGGCGGGTTAAATTTTTTAAAACATTGGATGAGGGCTTTTGGTCCAAAAACCAGCCCAATGCAGACCTCTAATCTAGATATCATTTTCTGCAAGATATATTTATATTAAAATCACACTTTACCCTAAGTCGGATCCCGATACCTGGGCGGCCGTATTTTAATTAAATATACCTGGGCCAGGCCTAAAAATTTTCTTTTAAAAAACCAATTTTAAATTGCCATTATTATCTATAAAATTAAAAATAAATATAGAATATTTAAAATAATCCGGGCTGGGCTAAATTTTTTTTTTAAATTTGGGCCGTGCAAATGGTATCTCTGCAGGTCTCTAAAAATATATGCCTAATTTCGAATATATCTATAGCATAGAGTCCTCTCAAAAATTTGAAGAGTCCCCTGAATTTAAATTATTTTCAAAATATAAGCCTGAATTTAAAAAATGTATCATATTTAAAATATCAGACTGGCTCTGCCCTTCATTGCATAGGTGGGTTATGCAGACCCCAGTTATTTTAAAACATTATTACTTAAAAATTGTTTCGATATTTTTGAATGAATCTTTTAATAGCTTAACATTTTTAAATAAAGTGCGTGTGTAAAATTGATTTTGATTTTTTTCAGTAGTTCAAGAGCTATAAGGGTTTTTTTGGAGCTTGGGGTCACATAGATCCCACCATGTCATTCGTGTAACTTTTTTTCATCTGTTATGAAAAATGTCAAAATTGCAATATCGGGGGTTAACTTCACGCTAAATTTAAAATTTGATTTCCGAATAAATAATGAAAATAAAAATTAATTTGAAGCATCGTTAAGAAGAGAAAAAGATTCTAAGTTGAAATAAAATTAACATTCACATATGTGTCTATTATTTAATATTTGTTTTTTAATAATTCTGACTATAAAAAGAGAAGATAAAATCAGATTTAGGATAAAATCAAATATCTTTGAGATTTTATATATTTAGAAAAGGAGCATCAAATGGTAATAATGATGATAACGAATACATTAGATTGGTGGAGAGGGAATGCTGATTGTTTTCCTCATTTAGCAATGATGGCCAAGGACTTTTTATGCCAACAAACGTTGGTGGCATCGAAAAAAGGTTTTTCACTGGCCAGTAATACTATGTCCAAACTGAGGAACAGGATGGTTCACTCAATACTAAAACAATGCATATCACTTTCTTCCTGGGACATAGATATAATGTCTTTTTATGATGAAATATGGCAATAACTTGTCAGGTATACATGTAATACACTTATTTAGAAATTGATTTAATAAATAATATTTTTGCTAATAGGCTATTTTGTGCTTAATTTATTAATAGTTTAAATTTATTATTCGTGTTAAACTCCAGGCACACGTAATATTTATTTGGCTAAAATCGTGAATTATTTGTTTCTAAAAATCTCTTAAGTTAGAGCCATTTAACAACACTAAGTGTGTTGTCATGCTCATGCATGTCATATAATAATATTATTTATCTCAATAAAATTAATAATATTTATATATTTGTTTAAAATATTATTTGAAGCGGGGCTTTATGCTATGTTTATCTACCTTGCAAGATTCATTCCTAATGTATAATTATCGGAATTTGGCAACATTGTAAAATGGAATAAACTTATATCGAATTATTAACATATCATTCATTTTATATGCGTTTTGAATATATATATTTTAGATGCATATTATATTATTTTTTATTTCATATGTTTATCATAATACTATGTTATATGTATTCGTTTGTTTGTTTAAATATAAATTATAAAAAAATATCATCACATTTTTCGATTTTTAAGATGTTTTATGTTAACTACGAAAGAACAATATCTCTTAAAAAATAGATATCAAAATTTCTAAAATCTTGCTTACCATAGAATTTATAAGTTTATCACCTCGATACTTATAAGTTACTTTGGCAAAATTTATCTATTTTATTTTTTTATCTGGAGGAATGGCCAGTATATCACTATGGTATTATAAATGATGAAATCTCATGAAGCATTTTTTTGTTTACTTATTATTTTAAATAACAAATAAAAGTTAAAAAAATTTTAAACTGTCTCTTATAAACAATAATTTTTAATATCTAAAACAATGTGTTATATACTATTTGTAGCTATTACGTTTAGAATAAGAAAATTGATATAATAATCACATATTTTAAGAATTGTAGTTAAAATCATTGATTTCTTTTAGTTAAATTTGCATCAACAAATTCTTTTAAAGGAAATCAAAAAAAAATCCTACAATTTATCGCATATTATATTTGCCCTAGGCCTATTAGAAAATATAATGTTAAAATATATTCATAAACACAATAGATTATCGTAATCAGTTGTCAATATTTTGCTTTAAAAATATTCCTAAGCCCTCAAGACCTAGACCCGCCCATTTAGAATAATTATGATTACAGTCGAGATATAATTAAAACACCTTTTATTTGATGCCCATATTATAATTTTGGATAATATTCCTGACCTCCGAAGCCCTGAATTAGCCTATTGATGGGGAATGCTTGTTCACCTAATGAACAAATCTTGTATATACTTTTCTAAGTTCAACAAAAACAACTAAAAATAAATGGGCTTTTGTGCCAGGTCTAAACCCAGGGTCTGTGCTCAGAGCTGACCTACCTGAGCACAAAATCGGGTCGTAAATTTTACGAACAAGCAAATTAACATGAGAGGATACTCAAATAACTACCATTCGAATTGTTGAAAATACGATGAAATAATTAAGCCAGGGGTGAAGTTAAGTGCGACGTTCGGTTTTCGATTAGTAAGGGCGTATCAGTTATATCTATTTTAGGGGAAGGGAAGTTAATTTTGCGCATTTATTGTTATTTTTTTGTTATTTTAAGTCATCTTTATCAAAATTAATATATTTTATTTTTATGATTAGAAAAAATTATTGATAAATTTTTATTTATTTTTCAAAATGTGCAAGATATAAACATAAAAAAAAGTAAAATCATCATATTATTTTGTTTAAAATTAGAGATTTTTTTATTTTGTTTAAAATTATTTTTTCCCTTTTTGAAGACATTTTAAAAGCCAAAATTTTTTAAATCAAATCTAAAAAAAATCCTAAGTCAATATGTAGCATTTATTTTTATCATAATTTATAGCAGTGTGGTAGTTAGTGAAAAAAATTACTGTTATTACAATGTAGGCCCTAATATGGTCGTTGCTTCGAATGTGATCTAATATTTTGTGCTGTGGTATTTTATTGGTGTTTAGAGTTATGTCGCAAACAGAGCATTCGTAACGAGTTGTTAGTATCCCATTGCTGTAAGAATGGTACTCGGTGATATATTTCAGGCCTGTGTGATAAAATATATAATGGCGAAATAAATTTAATCATTAAATATGCTAATAATTGTAATTAATAAGTTAGAATAAAAGTAACCAATTGATTCCATATTTCCAGAAGATTACAATATACATATACTCTCTGGCTTAATTGATACTCCGGCACACTTAATTTTTTTTGTCTTACTTAAAAAAATAAATTCATGAACACTCAAAAATCTTTCAAAAACTATACTATTATAAAATACCAATATATAATGAACATAATTTAATATGGATATATTTAAATTATTAGCAATAGCATATATAATTTAATATTTAACTGTAAATTAGCGCCCTACTATGCTAAAATGTGATGTTTTTGCCATATATTAAAATCGTGTTACTTCGCCTCTATAACGACAATAATTCTTTGTGGCATTGAATTAATAAAATTCTAGTAATTCTGAGATATCGATTTGTATATAGACTCTAATTTATTCTTCAAAAAATCCTTCCTTTCAAGAATGCAGATTTAGTGATATGACAAGGAGATTCATCTCACTGGAAGGTGTGATTTGCTTCATGTACTAATAAATGAATCGATGGCATCAATAATTGATGATATATTACACTGTAATTATTATATCCATTATAAAGGCCATGACACATTTTGTGAAAAAGTACAAAAATAGCAGGAGTTGGAATCGACCTTACGAGTTACCGACTACTATTGCCCCACGAATTCTTATGAATGATGTATTTTTTATCTATTTATTTCCCATTCTGTAAATAATTTTAAAAATTGAATAGTAATTAATATTATATATTATGCTAGATGAATAAGAAATCTTTAAATTTTACATTGATATTCGATATTTAAATGCACTGATTTTTTTTAAAAATTTTATTAGTTATCAACTACTATATAATATTTTTATCAACACCCTTTTCAAAATTCAAAATTATTTTCAACTACAAATTTTCAAGGTTAAAAATTTTATCATATGTATTATATTTTATATAGATTTAATTATAAAATATTTTTTAGATTTATAAGATTTATAAGATAAAATTTGAACATTTTCAACTACACAATATTTTTACAAAAATTTTGGATTTATAGGTAAAATTTGATCATAAATCCTGTTGAGCATTCTTGGCTAAACCTTTTTTTGAGTTTAAGAATACTATTAATACATAAAAATAAATAAAAGTCACAAAAAATATATTTTAAAAATTTTTATAAATGATTTAGAATTATAGGTAACCTAAATTCTGTTTGAGCATTCTCGCCTATACCTTTTTTCATAGTTTAAAAATAATATTATATATACTTATATTATATTTTATACAAAACTTCATTTGATTGTGAAAGATTTATTGAACTAAAGATTCACAAAAGATTTTTTACAAAAATAATTTGGAATTAAAGGTAAAATGATCATAAATTTAGTTTGAGCATTCTCAAAAAATCTTCATTGTAAAAAATATTCAGATATCATAATCTTAAAAGATTTTTTAATTTTTTAGCAAAAGATTTACTCTGCCTTTTTTATAACATGCTTTTTAGACGCTGATAGAATGAATATCCTGGCTACAAAATGTTTTCCTATAAAATATAAATAAACGTTCAATGAATGGTGATTTTTAATCAGGGTTTCGAACCGTTTAGTATAACGTTTCGGTTCGTTCCGGTTTTTAGTTTAAAATTTTATAAAGGTTTTGTTCCATTTCGGTTTTTTAAAAAAAATCATATCGGTTCGGTTCGGTTCATAATTTATAACGGTTCTTTTCGGTTTGTTCCGGTTTTTATAAATTTAATTTTAAAAAAAATTCATTATTAACCATGTATATATTAATTTTAGAGAAAAATCTTTTTTTCCGAATTGATAGTTAAATTTCCACCCAATCCTATAATTATTGGATCTATAATATTTCGAACTGCTTTGTCGTCAATTGATTTTATTGGCCTACCGTGAACTGTTATTAGAGTTTCTTTATTTATATTGATTTGTATTGTAGTAGTGTTGGACTTAAAAGCATCTTGGATTGTATTATACTGGGTTATTTGAATTTTTTTTAATAGTCAAATTTTCTTTCTTTTTTCTTAAAAATTTGAATTCCCTATTGTGAAATCTTTCTATATGTCGTTCAAGATTTGCAGCATGGTCTCCAGTTAAGATCTTACCACAATCTTCTATTTTACAAATAGATTGATTTTTTATGATATCTAATTTAAAATAGGAACGCACAGGATTTGGCTTTTCCCGAACATTTAATAGATAACTAAAAAGCTATATGATGATAGATGAAAATCTTTTATTATATAAATAGAATAAATAAAAAAGCTTAATAGAAACAATTTTACCTTCATTTTTATTTTTTTAAATAACTTGGATTATAGAATTTAAATGACAATAAATAAAATGGTCAGCAATAAATATTTTAATGATATAATAATTTTTATTTATAAAAATCATATTTTTTTTTAAATTCAGAATTCTAATATTTATTATTAAAATAATATGTTAGTTAGCATTTACCATTATCATATATGCAAAATAAAAAAAAATATGATTAAAGAATGGCATTTGTAATGAATATTTTTCTAAATCTGTATTTTTAAATAATAAAAATCTTACTATAAATCTTCAGTTTAAATAAGTTAACTAACATTGCATTAAATTATTTTATACTTTTATTTATTTGTGTTTTATATTAAATAGACTTACATTTAAAAATAGGAATTACATTTTGATGTTAAACTAAATATAACTAGTATAGTTTAATTCAAATTACCCACTCTGATATATTCTATATAAACTAAGATAAACTTTTTTTGAATATATCAATTAATAAGAAATTATTGTAAAACAATATTATATAAAAATTGGTCAGTACTTTATTTCTGTTAGATGTTAATATAATATGACAGAATAGGTAATTTAAGTTAAACTATAGTATTTATATTTAGTTTAACATCAAAATGTAATTCCTATTTTTAATTCACTGTAAGTTATTTAAATATAAAACACATTAATAAATAAATAAAAGTATAAAAATAATTTAATGCAATATAATTAACTTATTTAAACGATTTATAGTAAGATTTTAAAAATACAGATTTAGAAAAATATTCATTTTTTATTTTGCATATATGATAATGGTAAATGCTAACTAACATATAATAATAATAAATAATTTATAATATTAGAATTCTGAATTTAAAAAAACAATGATTATAAATAAAAAATTATTATATCATTAAAATATTGCTGACTATTTTATTTATTGTCATTTAAATTCTATGATCCAAGTTTTTATAATGAGATAAAAAATTTAATTTAGCCAAGAATAATTATGTCTGATTTTAAGATATCTTATCTTATTAACAGATAAATTTTCTAATCTCTTATAAATTAAGTATTCAAAGAAAAAACAACAAACCTGGTATTATTTGATATATAATGTTGATAATATAAAAATATTTAATTTGATATATAATGTTGATAATATGGAAATATTTAATTTGAAAAGAAATCACCAATTTAAAAAATGCCCCCAAGGAAAATTAAAATTTTAAATTTAGGTTAATAATTTTAAATTAATTATTTTTAAACCCGTTTTGAACCGGTTAAAAATATTTATAATGGTTTGGTTCGCTCTTTTAATATTTTCTTCATAACGGTTCAGTTAAGGTTACGGTTCAGAAAATCATAACGGTTCATTCCGTTTTGTGGTTAAGTTCGGTTTGAACCCCTGTTTTTAATCCTAAACACTGCTCATAAAATTTATAAATTATCCCCAAACAATAATAGATGTAAAAAAAATTTTATTGGAAAAAGAAACAAGAATATAGGAAATATCATAAAAACATCCCCAAAATATTATAAAGTAATCTCATAATAAATTTTGATTCGAATAAGAGAAATTCAAGCCTATATTTGATTTGGGCAATAGGAAATTCCTATTGAGATATACCAGACTAATGAGTAAAAATCCTGTATCTTTGGCAGTTTTGGAAATATCTGTTGCCTACATTTTTGGTAAATTTTTTTATATTATAAATTCCATTATATCATTTTCTCTTTTTATATGCTACAAATGTTAGGTTGAAAACCGATAACCGTCAAGTTTTAAAGTATATAAGCTTATTATAAGATAGGAAAATTTCGGATTCTTCAGCAATTAAATACAAGATAAAACTCTGATTCAGCCGTTCATTATTGGTGGGCTTTGCACTTATGCAATCCCATTTCATTATGCTATATAGAAACTCAACTGTTTTTTATAAGTAATCAGGATAGAAGATTTCATAGGATTTATTGAAATTTTAACAAAACAAGATGATACCTACCTATAAGAGGCTCCTTGACGTTATCTATAATGGGTTGGAGCTTGGAGATGAGGGGTGGAAGGGAAGCTACTTTACTTTTTGTCGAGCTGATAAGATTTCGTCCCAGAACAAAACCCTGTTTGGTGGATGGTACAGCAGAATGAGAATGCTGAGAGTCGCGATGGAATGGGGGCGGAACGGGCGCGTAAATATTTCCATTAGCAATGGGAGAATCGGAACAATTGAGATCATTGGCGTAATATTTTTGGTATGTTGAGGGCAACGATGACGATAATTCCTGCGTCAAGTAACCTAGTTATTTGATTTATCAACAAAAAAAAATATGGACTATTCATGATGGTTTTTCATATTTCTAAGAAACATATTTAATCAATAGAAAGATGATTTAACTATTCGGTAAATGCGAATTTCGTTGGTGAGATTTTGTGGGACCCGAACTTGGCATGAGTAGATAGCTTTTTTATTATATTTTATAAAATGAATTATCTATAAATGTAAAATATATTTACAGCTAAAACGAATAAAGGATATATTTTAATGGAGATTAAGGTGTATAAAAAGATAAATTTGTGGAGCAAACTTTTTGGCCACTTCATGGCTAGAATAGGGGAAATCAAGGTGATGTTGATAAGCGGCCTTGTTATCTGTAGGGTCAACACTAGGATAGCCAGTAAGTGACGCGACCCCTCCACCTTCAGCTTTAACACCAGCTGCAGGGGATGAAAAGTAATTGCGGTGATATTGGTTTTCTTTATAGTCAATTTTAGTCGAATTAATGAGAGACGCTGTCCCAATACCCATTGGACTATATGTGTGCCCATTGGGTGAGACAGACCCAATAGAATTGTGAGTGTGGGGATTGGAATGCGAATTGAGAGCATGGTGATGGGTGTGAGAGTTTATGACAATGTTGAACGGCTTTTTGGCAACGGTAATTTGGATTCGGGCGTCAACCAGGGCTGTGTTGTTGAGCTCGCGCATGGCCTGCAAGGCTCGTAGGGGATCCTGAAAATGGACAAACGCAAAACTACGAACTTTTTTAACGCGCTCAACTTTGCCAAAGGACTCAAACGCTTTTCGTAATTCTTCTTCACCTACTTGCTCCGTCAGGTTTCGTACATGGAGAGCCTTTATCTGGTGGGAAAGAAGTGTAAATAATTATAAAAACATGTTAGAATAAAATTTAATAATAAATTTATAATTTATGGAATTCGATTCTTTCTAAACAAATAAATTTTATGAAACGGCCTTAAATATAATGTTATGACAACGTGGATTATGAGTTTATACCTACAAAAATACAATTCGAATATTTACATTACGGATATTCGATTCATATTTTCAAATAGAATAATTTTATTATTTGTATACGTACAAACTGAATAATTTTATTATTCGTATTTGTACAAATTGAATAATAAAAACATTATTCGATTCGAAAATTAATTCTTTAAAAATATTTTGAAAAATTAGTGAATGAAAAATTCTAAAAAAATTTTAGATTGAATCTTTTGAATATATTTTTTTAAAAATTTGTTATTTTATCTTGAAAAATTTCTTGAGCATGAAAATTATAAAAGGTTTACTTATAAAAGAATTTTTAGGGCTGTGCCGATAATAAATAAAAATATCAGATAGGCACCGATATTTAGCGTTTATATCGCATGAGGCGGATACCTGTTAAAATCGAAAAATTGAAGATTCGAAATCTTTTTTAAAAAAATTATAAATAAATTTTTATTTATTTTAAAAAAAAGGATTTATTTATTTTTTATAAAAATGGAAAAGAACACCAAAAGCTTTATTTATTTTTAAAAAAATTTAAAATAATAAGGCCAATTTTACTATTTATACTATTTTTAAATATGGCATCTGAATTATGAAAATATTTTACAAGACAAAGAAAATTTTGCAAAATGCGTTATCTGCGGAATTCTAATTTAACGGGGAGGAATAATAAAAAATTCATTAAATACTACCAATACTGCGCGAACTGTTCGTAGCCCGACCCGGAAATTTCGGGGGGTTGTAATAGCTGTCTGACCCGGCCCGAAAAATAAATATAAATATCCTAAATAATTATAATTCATAATGTCAATTATAACCCCATATCATTTTTTAATAAGTTCAACCAGAATAATATGTCATTTTCAATTATTATTTTGTAATTTACATAACAACCATATAAAAAATTATTTTGTTTAATTATATTTTTGTTGCATTGCAGAGTTAAAACGATAGTATCAAGTTAAATAAAATATTTTTACTATATATTTAATTAAATAGGCACAATTTCATATTAAAAAAATTATTTTAATGGATGCCAACTTAAAAAAAATTGGTGAAAAGATTAAAAGCAATGAATGAATAAATGAATAAATGTCAAATCTGAGGATTGGAAATTAAATTATTAGGCACAAATCAACTAAAAAGGACAAAAAAATAGAGAGTAAAAAGACTCAATTAACAATTGATAGCCTTTTTGATATTGATCCCAAAAAACTGAAAAGTTGTACCAAATTTTAAAAAAGAGTGTACAAGGTGGTTACCATTGTGGTAAGATCATTTGACACAATTCATGGGAAAGGCTTTGATTGTTGCCAAAATTGGCTCAATATATAGAAATATTGATGTTAAAAGTCAAGACAACTTCTAGAAATTTAATAGATACTGCTGATGGTATACGCAATAAATTATTTTTGAAATTATGCATATATGAAAAAGGTAGATGTGCTAGTAACAATATATATGAAAATATGGTTAAATTATTTACAATTTTTTATAGCCACCACAGACTTTTGGATTTCTTAAACGATTCTTGAAAACTTAATAAAGTTGTAATGATTACATGCAAGTTTGAAGAAAAAAAAATTTGGGTAAAAATATTAAAAAGGAAATTAGTAGAAATTTCACATTATTAGACATTGATTTCATCAAAATAATTATAAAAATTAATGTATTTTTTAAATCAAAACAGTAAGTGCATATTTATTGGAAATGCAATTCATTACAGACCAAGGAGCTAATATGATTAAAGCATTTGAAAATCTGATTGAATTGTACTTCTCATCTTTTATATATAATATTAAGGAAAACCTTTGATAATAAAAATATTCTCAAGGTTCAGACATATAATGAAACAGAGTGGGTATGTTAAATCAACTTTTTATTAAAATATAACATTAAATTTTAGATTATTTAATCAGATTGATAAAACCCTCCATTTGTGTATTGAGACTCGATGGAATAGCAGACTTATAATGATTAAATCGATTTTTAATCAATTCAATGAAATATTGGAGATTCTCAGTTCTAGAAGAGTCGATTAGGCTCGAAAAAATATAGAATGAAATGGTGAGGGACCTTATCAAGTTTCTGATGTCTTTTAAAATTGAGAGTGATGAACTTGAGGGTGATTTAAAAATAATAGTTCAAGAAGATATATGTGTTATCTATCACAAAATATTGAGTTTTTTAGCTCATCCAAACTTAAACTCGCAGCTTAACTATTTTTGTGCCCAAAACTTCGGGATAGGGATGCACCGATATTTTTATCGGAATCGGGCCGATATTTCACCCATTTAAATATTGGTTATCGGCCAACATTATAAAATTTTCCGATCCGATATAAAATGGCATCTTTAACAAAAATAAAATGTTATAAAATTTTTTTTAAAAAGTTATATCTAAAATCATTTATTTTTATAAATACGATACCACTTTTTGGAGGCCGATCCTATATTTTCAATATTAAATTGATATCCACCGATTACCGATCCGATATCATATCTGATTTTGTATTCTGTAAAGATACCAATGGTTTTAATTTTTAATTAAATTGATATCCACCGATTACCGATCCGATATCATATCTGATTTTGTATTCTGTAAAGATACCAATGGTTTTAATTTTTAATATACTTTTTATTAGTATAGCATCTATAATTTAACTATACCATAACTTATGTCATTTAAATATATTATAATGATCAGTTATAGTTTATAATTCAATTCAATAAAATATCTTTATTGTTAAATCACTTTTATATAATAAGTAATACATATTAATCAATATACATAATAAGTAATAAACAAATATATATAAAATTTGAAATAAATATTTAAAATAATATTTAACATTAATATATCAAAGATTTCTTTTTAGAAATATCAAAATTTCCAATTTATCAGAGGTCAGCCTGTGGCGATGGTAATTGTCAATATCACCAGCTTCACTAAAAACTGATTCTGAAGAGATTATCGCACACTTTTTAAAGAGAATGCCCAAAAAATAACAATATGGCAGAATGTTTATTAATTAATTTATTATTATTAAAAAAATATTACATAAAAATGGATTTCGATTTTATTTATAAAAATAAATGATTTTCGATATAACTTTTTTTTAATTTTATAACATTTTATTATTGTTAAAGACTCCATTTTATATCGGATCGGAAAATTTTATACTATTAGCCGATAACCGATATTTTAAAATGGGTGAAATATCGGCTCGATCCGATCTGATAAAAAATATCGGTACATCCCTAATTACAACTATTATCTTCTACATTCAACATAAATCCTTCTTATTGTTTTTATATAATCGCAATAATTTTTAAATTCGATTGTATTTTAAGTTTTTTATATTTTTTACAAATTAAGTTGCATTTTACTTATATATTTTGAGTATATTATGGCCGTCAAATAAGCTTTTAAAGGTGGAGATGAAATACATATAAATATTTTTTGGCCATAGGTTATTTAGTTTTGACACAATGAAGTACGCCAAAATGACAAAGATCTAATGGTAAATTATTTGAAAAATTTGATTATTTTATAAAATAATAAATCTATTATAAATACTCTTTTGCAAATTATTTCAACAAATACTAGTATCCCTTCCCTATCCATATTAAGAATAGGCTAATACTAATATTAAAATGCTTAATTATTATAAATAACTCATCATTAAATATTTTATTAACTATTGTAAATATTTATTCATATATATGTGTTTATGTTAACAAATAAATAATAAAAACTGTATTTTATAAACTATTCTAATTTAATTGGTAATGATAATTTAAAAATATCATATATTAAAAATACTCGAATTTAGCAAAAGATACAAGTATCTATTTAATATTTTGAAAAAGATACTGGTATGTGAAGATTTATTTTTTCATAAAGAATTTGTTTATCGATTCTTTTCGAAGAACCTGTCTTCTGTATATAACAATATTTGAATCTTATTATCAGGTCAAATATCTTTAGATGTAATAATTTAAATCATATAATAGATATATCGTTTGTCTAGAATTGGAATGCTCCACTCGACATTTTCAAAATTTTTGAGTTAGAAGTGGACATAAATTTATTTATTCCCAATATATATAAAAATAAAAACTAGATTAAAAATTATTAATTTTTGCCAAAGTTATAGCTCTGTCAGAATTGATCAATAGTTTTCCTATATTTTATTTTAAACTTTAATGTTGATTTTCTCATTTTAAACATTTGTGCAAGTGGAACACTTCAATTCTAGGCCAACGATATATATAAATCTTTGTTTGCTAGAATTTCTTATTATCAGGCTAATTTATATATGGTAAATAAGTGTTCATATCTGATTGATTAATATAATAATAATTTGAATTAATCAAATATGTCAATCATAAGATATTTAATTTTATATATATCAATAATATATAATTTTTATATATCATATCACAATATATATATAAATTTATCAATGTAATTTTTCATAATATAAATTAGAGATCTGCAAAGTTAAGCCCGGCCCGAACGGACTTCGGGCCAGACCTAATATTTTTAAAAAAATTTCGGGCCAGATCGGGTCGGACCTTGGAAATTTTATTAAATATATCTAAATTTATCAATTCTATATTGAATTTTTTATGTATAATAAAAATTTTTGATTTAATTTATTGAAACTAAACGCTATATAACATATGTCTTTTATTTTAAGTAATTATAAAAATTAATTTCTATATTTAAATAAATTCGGGTCTGGCCGGTAAATTTTTTTAAAATAATTTCGGGTTCAGTACGGCAAAACTTTTTTTAAAAAAATTTTGGGCCGGGCCGGGCTTGAAAAATTAGGCCCGATGCAGATCACTAAAATAAATATAATATCAGGCATAAATAAACATCTTGAAAATTAAAATCTTTATATATATATAATTATATTTATAAAATATCATATTTTAACTTAATATATATTAATTATGACATATCATTTTCACACAATTTTATTATTTCTTCATAATTCTTTTATGGTTAAAATTTTCGTATTTGGAATTTTTATATATTTTAATATCATATTATAAAAAATTGTTTGATTGTGCTGACAAGCCACAATTCTATTAACCCCAATGGTAGTAATATTACTAATATGATCTTAACAATTTGAGAAATTATCATAAAAAATGGTGAATGTTATGTATACAAATATTTGGCTTATTTTATAAAAGAACTTTTGCCATTCTATAAATTAGGTTACTACAAGTTACAATTATATTTTTGTAAAACCCTTGTAATTGATGTTTTCTCATTATGTAAAAATTTTATCAAGTAGGGTTATATAATTATCAATTCGACATGTGATTGCCCTTTTATTAAAAATTGCAGTGACATTTTGAGTGATAAAATCTTAATTGAATTTATTTGCTGTAGAAATTACTAGACATATAAAGGTGCTCTATTCGCCAAAAGCCCTATTATTGATATAAAAGTCAAGCACTGGATAACAGTGCACAATATTTTTACAAGCAAGGTCACATCATATAACAACTTTTAAAGATCAGAATTAAGCTAAAAAATTATTTTTAAGGTCAGATCAAGCATAAATAATTCAAAAATTACTATGGGGCATATTCAAGCCCACAATTTCTAATTGGTATATTGGTATGAACTTAAATAACGAATACCAGTAACCAATATCCAACTTAATAATTATACATCATTATTTTTTTTAAAAACTTGACTCCAAATTAAACCATTAATACTTAAGAAAAAAATTGAAATTTATAGAGATAAGAAATAATAAGTATTTAACTTTCACATTTTGTTGCATAATTATTTTATTTAAAGAATATATATAGTATTTGCAATTTGACATATATGTTATTGATTAATTGTTTTTTTTATGTTATATTATTTCTTTATTTTTCTTTTATTATATTTTATGTTATATTAGGAATCAATAATTTATGCATAATTAAATAACTTGATATCTCTGAAATTATTCCCCTTGAACAAAATATTTTTTTAAAAAAAATTATTTGTATTATAAAAAAACATTTTTAATAATTAAAAATTATCCATGTAGGAAAGAAGACTGAGAAAAAGGTTTTATTTCAAATAAAATTAAGTTTTTTTAATCATATTTCATTAAAATTGTAATTGGTATCAGCTGATTGATACATATTGTTATTGATATTTTATCTTAATTAAATTAAATATAATCAAGCAGTGAAAAATGTAGAGACCACATTTAGTCAACACAATTTTTGTCAAAATCATCATAGGTCAAGAAAAATATTGTTGTATTTAAATTTACAAATTACCATAAAATAGTCCAAACATCTACCTAACTAAATTTAAAAAATTATTTATACTTTTTTCTCAAAATTGATTCTAGTAAAGGAAATTTTTGAACCAACAAGCTCCAAACCTGGGGCTTATAGATTCAATTACTTTATTAAGTCTCCCAAAAATTAATACTATTATTCCATTATTTTCATTATCAATGTTATATTGATATACAAATATACCATTTACATAAAAATAATTCATATAAAAATGACAAAATATTTCATTACTTGAATTATGAAAAATGTGTAAAATTTTTAAATTTTTTTTATTTTTCCTAATTCTATAAAATACCAAATTTGTAAGCATAATTTGATTGATCCAATTAGCCCTGATTCTACTAGCCCCTATTTACTAATATTATTAATACCTTTTAAAAATATATTTAAACACGAAACATGATTATGAAACTTTCTGAAATATAAAAAAGGGTTTTTAAATTTCAAATTTTATTATTTTTAAACTTTTCATATTTTAATGCCACCTAGTATTGTGGTGTAAAAACATTTTGATTTTTACCTAAGCATATTTTATCATAAAAATTTTTAAATAGCTTAGGGATATAAAATATTTTTAGTCTCAAATATACATATTATACAATGCTATTACATAATTAAATTTTAATTTCTAAACATATCTGGTTTTAAAATAAAATCTGCTGAATCGACAAGCCCCTTGTGCTAACTAGCCCATGTCTCCCCTATTCATAATTTACATCAAAGTTTGTGTGAAACCAAAAATAAGTAGGTGAATGATATTGAAATACAGATAATAAATGACATATGAGCTAATTCTACTTAAAGAATTCCAAAATGTAATGATAATAAATACAGTTCAATTATAAGCTATTCACTAGTTAACAATATTAGTTCCACTCCAAAAATAAAATTTTTAATAAAAAATACTAAAACTAAGACCATGTCAAATATAAAAGAAATATATAATAGGGGTATAAATAATCAAATTTCACAATTTTATTAGTTTAAGGGTTTTATAATAATTGATTTAACATTTTTAATTCATGTTTTCAGTTTTATAATTGGTTTCACCACTTTTATAACAATTTCAGTTTTTAATTCATGTTTTGGTTTTCATATTATTATAATTGATTTCACATTTTTTAAACCAATTTGTTCAATTTTTAATTCATGTTTTCTCTTCCAAATAGAATTATTCAGTATTTGTTTAATTTTACCAAATGTGATGGGTGTGATGTCTAATAAAATTACTATTATTCCTCATCTAATATAAACACTAACCCTTATCTTTATTGCATAGTTCTAAGCTACTTGCATGCAGTTCAAGAGTTTGGTGTCTTGCCTGGACCATGTAGTTAGGTAAAAACGACAAACTTTATTAGCTACTTCATGCTTCTCAGCAAAGTAACTGTTAAATTTTATCAAATGTAGTGGGATTGGTGTCTAATAAAATTAAACTGCAAATTTAATTAACTATGAAATAAATAAAACTAAGCATTTATTTAAAAAACTATGAAAATAATTTAAAGCTATAAAATCATATTTAAAAAACTATGAATATAAGTTTCCCTTATAATAATAAGTTAATAAATAACAATCTTCTTTATTTACACATTAAAATAAAAATTTATATGTTGGAGTATTTTAATTTAAGATTTTTGAAATCTTTAACGTTTAATAGTTAATCATTTAAAAAATGAATCAGACAACTTTATCATATTTTAAATCAATTTTAATTTTAACTAAGGTTACTCCAAAATTCTATAGCAAAATTGTCTACAGTTCATAAGTCAAGTACCATCACAAATTTTAAAAAATAATAAAGCAAAATTCTTTTTAAAATGTGCATGAGGTCATTTAAAAGAATCCAATATACCCTATGTATTGTATTATACATAATAGCTGGTATTAGTTGTAGCTGATTAAAAATGGTTTAGGTTAGTTTTTAGCTAGCTATAACTCAAGCATCAATACTTAATGAATTTTATCTAGCATGCATCTGTAAATTAAACCTATTTCACGCATAAATTAATTAAAATTATTAATTTTTAAAGAAAAAAATTGCTTGATTTAATTTATGATTTAGATCAAATTGATTTTTATTTCCACAAAGTCCAAAAGCAAATAAAAAATGGGGCCAATATTGGCAATAAAATTTGGGGAAATCTTGTGTAATTAATATATGATAAAAATAAATTATACATAAAAAAAATATATGTATTGCATAATGCTAAAAGATAAGAAACAAAGGCAAAGAAGGTAATTTTCGTATCATAATGAAATAGCATTTTAATAAATTAGTGAGATAATTAATAAATTAGTGAGATATTATCTAATATTGAAAAAAGTATTTACTATTAAAAATTTCATTAAATTGAGTATCATTTAATATATAAAGATAAATTTACTTCTTGAGGTCGAGATTCATAGTAGGCAAGTGTACTGTTGAAATTGTTTATGTAACTATTTGACAAACTATTGTTTGTATAATTGGCTATTGTATTATTATTAAAGCTATTGTTATTGAGATAATTTCTGCCAGATGCCCAATCCACAACAAACATAGAATGTTCATCATCTTCCTCTTCTTCATTATCACCTTCTGGTGTTGAGAGTGATGATGATGAAGACATGGAACCTTTTCCATTTTCATGAGTCTTACCATCATTACAATTATAAAAATTCTGCTTTTTAACAGTGGTTGATAATAATCTTTCAAGGGCAATCTGAGCCAAAGAATGGGTTTCATATTCCAATAAGCAAATATCATTGGCAGGTTTATAAATGACATCTACTAAGCCATCTTTGTGTTTACATTTAAATAATAATATAATTATTTTTTATAGCATAATTGACCTGTTCAAATATCAAATATTTATATTACTTGTTAATGATGATATTTGTTCGTATATTTTAGGCTTGCTTTTTTCATGATCAAAATTAAATAACTGTAAACGTCTTGGACCATCACTTTCAGGCCAGCTTGCTTTAATTGTATTTCCTTGTACATATTGACCATTGAGCTAGTTAAAATAGAATTAGATGTATCAAATAAAGTTTTAAAACCTCTGTTAAAGCTTTTTCAGCATCTGTTTTAGTCATAAATGTGACATAAACAGTGACATAACAATTATTTTTATCTTTAATTCTTTTCCCATTTAAACTATTATAATTTGCTTTGGGATCATGAGTAATAATTCGCAACTCCCACACTTGTCCTAATTTTTCCATTAACCCTAATACATCATCTTCTTTAACACATCTAGGGATGTTTTTACAAACAATCTTAACAATCAAAAAAATTTATAAAAGTAAAAATGAAATCTACTTCTGATCCTTTGTCTGGATAACCAGTAATACGTGAATTATTTGAGTGTGAAAAATTATATCTTTTAAGTGCCATCCCTGTGTAAAAGGATGGGGATGATTCGTTTGATCGCTTTAAATTAATGTATATTTCCATTAAAACATATTTATTTGTAAAAAAAAATAGAACATATATTTCTAAAAAAAATAATAACATAATTTTTTTGCTCAGAATTAGATGAACGTGTTCTCATATTGCCGTTAGTGGATAATGTCGGGGTGTTCGTTCTTTCGCCACTTAAACGTTGTCTTTGTGCTTTAATTGCACTGAATAGATAGGCGCTTTTATTTATGGCGTTTCGATAATTGCTAGATTTGAGATTCTCTAATAATGATATTGCGGCATTTGATGGGAGCGATTTTAATGCTTCGAGAGCTTTTGTATCCCATTCATCATCTGTTATCATGCCTAAGCAATCCAATATTTAATAAAAAATCTCTAATTTAATAATAAACATGTATACTACCTTCTTTCTCCAAATTCGAAATATAAGCAGCCACTTGTTCATCAAACCCAATACTGAGAAGTTTTTTATATAATTTATCGAAACGTGAATATGAATCCAACTCCATTTTTTATTACATGCTAATCCAAACTAAACGAATTGTATATTTTTGCGATAATATTTTTTAGATATTATAATAAATCAAACCAATTGAATATGTCCATAAAATAACATTAAAGAAAATAAGCAATCATAAACATTTTTAATAAATTTAGCTTTATAAACACATTTGGAAAAATGAAATTGTAGATTTAAAAAATTGTTGAACGCGTTAAATGTAAATGTGCTAAAAAAATAAATAGAATCCATAATTTATTAATTAATGTAAACTTTTTAATTAAAAAGATATTGCATATTGTACAATTGATTATTGTAATAATATTTATTAAGTTTCTAAGTTTTTTTAAATTTTTATTTCTTTTCTAGGTCCTATTGTATAATTTTTTTGCAACAAACATTGATTCCGATGTAAATACAAATATTAAATAGCTATATTATATCCTAATATTCTACATTTTATATGTTTTAATACTAAAATTATCTAATATTTAATACTTTGCGATAATCTATTTCAACTTCTACCTTATTAACTATTATGTATATCTAATTTTTTAATCATATATTATTTCATATTATAATAAAGAATATATTTGAACTATAAAGAATGCAAAAAAAAAATGTGTGTACGATAAAATAATAAAATTATATAATAGGGGAAGAGATATCACATCAGTAACAACTCAAAACGCTCCATATGTGTAAATTATATTAAAGCAGTTGATCATCTATTTTATTATTGTTTAACAAACAATCAGATTACACCTTTAAAATCAAATATTTATCTTATAATTTAACAGGATTGCGTTTTAACTGGAGCAAGTCAAATTTCGAAATCCTTTTAATTTTTCAAGTGTAGTAGTAGTTTTGATACCATGTGATATTTAAATTTTAGATCTTTCTTAGAATTTGTATTTTCTTGTAAACTACTATTATTCTTTCTCCATAAGCCACATCAAGCATTAATTTTAGTTTTAAAAATATATATTATTAAATTATTATATATTTTAATTTATCTTCACATCACGCTAGATAATTTGGATAAAATTATATAAGAAGAGGGAAAATAAATTGTAGCCCACAATATAGACCCAAACGGCATGGTCTACTAACGATTTACTTTTTATATTTTTAAGTGCAAATTGTTTTTTTAGCATAATTTTAATATATCCATTAAGAAAATTTTTCTAAACTCATAAAATTTATTTAAAAAATATATGTTAAAAGATTTTATTAAAACATATATTATATAAAAATTGGATATAAACAATTATATAAAAGAATATGTCGCCATAAAGAAGAGATAATGCTTAGGAACTTCGATCTACATATTTCAAGGGGAATCTGAGGCGGGGATGGAATCCATAGTTGGGGTCAACAGTAATGGTGAGTCTTCTATTTAACAAAAGTGCTACTAGAAAAAAAATTCAATTAAATAAAAATAAAATTCACATTCAGAAAAGGAAAGGAAAGGAAAATCATATTTATTATATTTTTTTTAATATTTTTTTGTTAGGCATTAATTATCCTGAAATGTTATTTTTTGTTAGATTTGTTTTTATTTTTTTTAATAATTAATTCCTATTTTTGCTCTCTCTGTAATTTATGTCATTTCTAATATATTTTTCGCAGTCTTTTCTCGATTATTTTTCCTCTCATATTTTTTTTTTATTCTTTCTTATCTTTTTTAAACTAATTTCTATATTTTTCTTGTCATCTTTTTTCAATTCTTTATTTTTATTTAACTATTCCTTTTCCACTATTTTTACTTTTCTCTTATTACGATTGCAGAAAATAAAGCAATCATTTGATAATAAAGTATATATTATAATTATCCGATGTCCTCACTACGTCATCGTGACGTCATGTCATCGCTGCGTCATGTCATCGGTACGTATTTATTTATATTTTTTTTTATTTGTTGATTTTTTCCATACAACAGATGATCCTATAACTTAAGTTTTACGTGCAACTGTAGGATCCCATATTAAAACCTTAAATAATCTTATAATTTATCATCACAAAATTTTACAACCTATGCAAGTATTGGATATCAAAGTATTACATTAAATATATCTATTTACAAAATATTACAACTTATTATTTATTTATTTTTTCTATGCAAACAGGTGATCCTATAAATTAAGTTTTCTATGCAACTGTAGGATGCCATATTAAGACCTTAAATATTCTTATAATTTATCATTACAAAATTTTACAAAGTAATACATTAAATATATCTATTTACAAAATATTATTAAGTAATACATTAAATATATCTGTTTACAAAATATTACAAATTATTAATTTTTTATATAATTTAACTTGTATGTGAGATTTTTTCTCCATAACTTAATTTTTGGAGTTATCTCCAATAATAATAGGTAATATTTGTTATTTCTTATAATAATTTTAGGGCAAACCTGATTTTGTCATGATTTTTTATGTATTTCCCATTTTATATTTTAACGTCTTTTTTTATAATATTATATTTTCATGTACGTTTGTAATATTGCTGCAGAACAGGAATAACTCATAGATTAATTTGTCAGAGATTTCCCATTCATTAATTATAAATTTAATATCTCCTGGCTTGGTAAAATTTTTTCAAAATTATTAAGGGTTGGACTGGGTTTAATTATAAATTTATTATCTCCAGGCTTGGGAATTTTTTCAAAATTATTATGAGTTGGATTGGGCTTAAAAAATATTTTTCAAAATTAATATTGGCTTGGATTTCAAAATTATTAGGGATTGAGGTGGGCTTGAGAAATTTTTTTTAAATTATTAAGATCTTGGATGCTAGAAAATTTTTCCCAATAGTACAAAAAATGTATAAAAATTATTAAGCATTATTACTCAAGAAGCTGCTATTAGTGAAAATAATTATAAATGTACATAATATTTTCATTATAACATTATATTACAATATTCATGAGTATTGGATATCAAAGTAATACATTAAATATATCTTTTTTACAAAATATTACAAATTATTCATATAATCATTAATATTTTATACATTTACTCAATAAAATACAACAGTCTTAATTTATTTTTAAATAGTATTTTTTTTATAAAAGCATTTTATAAATTTATAAAATCAAAATATAATTATAACCTTGATCACAGTACAAAAAAAATATAAAAATCATTAAGCATTATAAAAAATATATTGTTAGAATTTACTTAGTATATGATATTATTTGGTTAATGATGCTTACTACCAAGTGAATGTATGGAAATATTTTAAATAACAATCTAATTTGCTAAATACCGACCAAAATTTATTAAAATGTAATAAGACCCTTATTATTTAATATATTAATACGGAATCACGTGGTCGAGTCCGGCCTTCTATATATCATCCCCCCAAGGATGGAACCACCAAGTTAGAATAAGAAAAAAAACATGATCATTCTCGGGATTCGAACCCAGGAGCATAGGATAAGTAAGCCAAGCTCTTGCCTACTAGGCCATAGAGGCTTTCCAAAAATCACGATTTCAAATATATATTATAAATATATTTGGTAATGCCTATCCAAATGAAAAATGAACAAAATTCAAATTTGATAGATGGTACCTTAAGGTACCAAGCATCATTAACCATATTATTTTATAATTTAAACAAATTTATATTATTTAAGCATCCTATGTATTTTTAAAGCTATCCATTTATGCACTTTTATCTCTGATGAATATTTTGTCTAACTAACTGAAAAATATACAAAGTACATTAATTTTAATATTTAACTAAATTAATATAACAATTTTTAAGGATCCGACTTTTTTAAAAGCTTAACATTTTGTCGGATCCACCATTGCTCTATTATCCCTGCTGAATATTTTGTATAACGCACAAAAAAATATACATAGTGCATTATTTTTATTATAAATAATTTTATATAGGATTTTATATCTATTCCAAAAACTTAATATATATTACAATATTTATTTTTATTCAATTAAATTATATATTTATTCTTAAGGATCCTACCTTTTTTAACAATACTCCTTTTTATTCTTTCAGTAAAAAATACTAAACAGAGTTTTCTATTTTTAGGATTTTATATTTATTCCAAAAAAATACATATTACGGTATTTATATATTATTTAAATTATTCTATACCTATTCACAAGGATCCTATTTTTTTTAAGTTTGCCAATTGGTCTCTCCGAATGGTATTTTATTTTAATCCTACCTTATAAAATTAACTTGAGAAATTTTTTTTTTTTACTTTAGAAAACTATCCATATCTTATTTCCTCTTTATAATTGTTCAAATATTGATATATCAGCCATTAATAAACAAATGCAAAATAAACCTCTAGAATATCATAATAGACTTGATAAGTCCCCCCCCCCAAAAAAAAAAAAATTTTGATGATAGCCCTCCAACTACTATAAATATGCATCTAATATTGACCCATCTACTGGTTTACATTATTTTAATGTTTGTTTAATTTCAACAATAGTTTATTTATATTTTTGCCTGATTTCTTTATTTGTCTAGGCTAACCCTAATCCCTCAAATTGCTACAAAACATGATAAATCTATTATTAAAGATAAGCAAAGAAAATAATGACGATTAATCCAACGCCTTACCCGTTCTGGAGTTACTGGTAGACAAAATAATAAAGAACTACGCTTGAAATGAACTCATCTGGAGGTTTATTTTGTTTTTTTTTATCTTAAGTTTTATATCTATGTTTATTTTATTTTCACCCATTTCTCCAAATGATATTTCTATCACCACTAACACAATCCCTATGCCACCACCGCCTATTTTTTAACAAATATAAACATTTAATTCTGTACTATCATTCACTTCACTAGGAGTTAATATAAATATTACTTTATCCGATTCTCTGAGAAACTTTCATGAATATTTAGAGGAATGTTCAAACTTGAATGTACAGTACGGCCAATTTCATCAACTTTATTAAGGCCTTTATAACAATACTTACGACTGTTTTATTGTTGAGTTAACATTGTCGTTCATGATTCTATTTTAGAGGGGGATACTAATACTGACATTGACA